TAAAACGAATATTCTTATATTATATAAGTTTCTATTAAATTATTAATTATAAATTATTATTATAAATAATTATTAGAATATTAAGATTTCTACTTATTTTATAATAAAGCTTTACTTTTAAATTAAGCGAGTTATAAAAATAAAGTCTATATTTATATTATTATTAAACTCTATAATAAATATCTTAATTAGCTATTATAATACACTTTTTAATAATTATAATTATTTATTTAAGTTTAAATTCTTAATTTTTCTTAAAAGAGAAGATAGTATCTTTATTTACATTATAGATTCCACTATAACTTTTATATAAATAAAGAATTTTATAAAAATATTAATTTTATTTTCTAGAAATATAAAATTAGATATTATAATAGAGTATACTATAAATAAATATTATTAAGTTTCTTATAAATTAATAGACTTAGTAGTTTATAAATAGCGTATTTTAAATTAATTAAAAATAGTTATTATTATTATAACTATAAATAATTCTATTAATATAAATTATATTATTATAATAAATTTTAATTTTAAATATATATTTCTAAATAGCGTAATTATTTATAGTAAAAACGAGATTTATTATATTTTTAACTTCGTTATAGTAAAATTTAAAGATATCTTTACAAATTTAGAAAGTATTATAAATATTTTTAAAGAATAGTAAATATTAATTTTATTAAAATTAGACGCTAAAGTAAAGTTATTAAAAGTTTATTTTTTTAATTATAAAGATTAAAAAGTAATTAATATTACTTTTAATAAATTATAATAATAATAAAAGCTTCGCTTTTTTATATAATTAATTTTTTATAATTAATCTTACTTTATAATTTAATAAGATATACTATAAAATTATAAAAGAAGAATTATTATTAATATTTAAGAATTTAATATTATAATAAAAGATAATAGCTATCTATTACTCTTATAATTAGATATTATTATATTAATAATAGAATATATTTCTATTTCTATTATAAATAAAATTATATAGTTCTATTAATTTAATATAAAGCTTTCTAATAAATATAAATTTATTATTATTAATTATTATAATTAAGAAGAATCTAGTATAGTATTTATAAAATATAAAAAATCTTTATTATATATATAACGTTAGATTAATACTCTACTATATTTACTTTATACTTTTATATATACTTTTATAAATAATATTATTATCTTTAATAGAATCTTTTAAAAATATAAATTTTATTTTTAATAGCTATTTTAGCTATTATAAGAGAAATATACTTCTCTAATATTAATAAAATTCTTTCTAAGATTCTTATTAATAATACTATTAGAATAGCGTATTAATTTTCTTAATATATTTATAATAAAAGAAAAGATTAAGATAATTATCGCACTTCGATTTCTATTAAGTTTTTATAATTTAAAAATCTTTCTCGACTTAATAAAATAGTTAAAAAACTTAATTTTCCGCTATATATAGCGTACTTAGCTATTATAAAAATAGAAAACTTCTCTTATTTAAATAATAATAATTAAATCGATTATTTTTTTAAATTAACTCGAAGTAATTACTATATCTAATACTATTACTTCTAAAAAATAACTTATTAAATTTATTTATAAGCGAACTTCTATAAAGCTATATTACGAATTAATTTAAAAAGAAATTTCTATCTTTTAGAATTTATAGAATATTTTTCACTCGCTCTTCTTTCTAATATATTTTAATTAAAAATAAAAATTATATATTAATATTAATACTTTTAAAATATAAAATTTCGCTATTATAATTTATTATATATAAAGAAAAAAAAAAGTTTTTATTTTTATTAGAGAAGATATATAAGCTATAATATTTCTAAGTAAATTAATTAATACTATAAAATATAATTATTAATCTATAAAATTTAAGATTATTATTATAATTTAAATAATTCGAAAAGTTAGATATCTAATTAAAGTATTCAAAATATTATTAATAATAATTTATATTAATTACTTTACTATAATTTAAATCGCTCGATAAACTACGCTTTCTACGTTATCTATTAATAAATTAAATCTTTAATTAATTTATACTTTTTAATATTTATTAAGATTTAATTTTATTATATATTATAAGACTAGTAAATCGAATATTATTTTTAACGTATTATCTAAATTTTAAATAAATATAAATTTTAAAGAGAAGTAAATAGTGCTAGAAAGTCTTTATAAAAATATTTTAGAACTAAAAAAACGATTAATATCGCTTAAAGCGATCTTAGCTTATTATATAACTCTAATAAAAATAAATAATAATTTTAAAAAACGCCTTATTAAGATGTATAGTAAGAATTCTTAATAAATTAAGATTCTCGATTTACTTAAATAACTTAAGTCTAACCTTTTAAAAAAACTTTACTTTTAAAAATATAATAATTTTATTTATAATATTACACTTAATTATATTAATAAATAATAATTCTATATTTCTAAATTTATATAGTAAAAAGTTTTCTAACTAATATATAATTAGAATTAATATATTAATTTTTATACTACTTATACTAAGATCTCGTTATTAATCTATATTAAAGACTTATTAAAGTATCTTTAAATTTATTTAAAATACTATTTAAAGTATTAACTTAATTAAATTAAACGATATTTCACTTATAATAAATTTAATCTAATTTCTATATTATTAATTCTATTTTATATTATAATAATAAATTTTATTATTACACTTTCTTTCTAAAAAGATAAATTTTTTTTTTATTATAATATATAAATTCTCTAAAAGAAAACTTCTTATATTAAGATTTAATAAATAAATTACTATTAATTAAGCGAATATCTTACTTATTATTTTAATATCTTATAATTAAAATATTTTTATTACTATAATTAACGATCGTAATACTAAATTTATAAATATCTTCTAAAAAACTATTTTCGAGAAACTTAAAACTATTATAATAATTTCGATTACTTATTACTTTCAAATAGATAAATAATTAAAAAGAATAAATTAGACTATTAAGATTATTCTATAATTTTATCTTATTACTAGTATAAATAACTAATTAAGCGTAGTTTTATTTTTTTAAATATATCTTAATAACTTAATTATATTAATAAGATTTACTCTAAATAAAATTATCTATAAATTTTAAATAAGAGATATATTAAGACTATTTATAGATTTATTATTAGAAAATCTTAATTAACTACATTTTATTAAATAAGAAAAAATTAATAATACTATTACTTTCGCTAATACTATAATAAAAACTCGTTATAATAATAATTATAAAGCTATTAATCTTTATAAAAGATTATTAATTTATCTAAAACTATATTATAGCTACTTTATTTCTAATATTAATTTTAAACTTTCTAATTAAAGAGTTAAATTATTTAAAATATTAAAAAAAATTAAAAATCTTATCTATCAACTAGATCTTTTAGATATTATATATATTTATTCTATAATATTTATAACTTAATTAAAATCTACTTTAAACTAGTCTAAAGATCTTTATTATAAAAAATTATATTTATTATAATTAATAAAGAAAAAAGAAAAAAGCTAGATAAATCTAGAATTTTTTATTAGATTTTTATTATTTAAGATCGATAAGTTAAGTAATAAATAAGAAAATAAAAGAAATATTAAGTATCTAATATATTAAAAAAGTAGTAAAAAAAAGTATAATACTTAATATTTATTATATACTCTCTTAGAAATATAAGATCTTATAGTAAAATATAATATATATATTTTTATTAACTTTATAAGAAATTAAGAAAAAAAGTAATCTACTACGAAAGTATTAATTAAGAAAATACTTATTTTTAAAATTAACGCTATTAGAAAATAAGCTATTATTAGAAAGCTTAGCTATTCGTAAAAGAAAGTTATCTTTTAAGAAAAGCGTTCGCTATCAGCGAGAAATCCGCCTTTACTTATATCACCGCCTATCTCACTATTAAATCCTTTCGCTACTTATTATAATATATAACTTTTTACTTAATAAAAAGGATTTCTTCTATAAAATAAGATCTTATTATAAAAAGAAAGAAAGTTCGTATCTTATTTAAAGAAATAATTTTCTTTACTTTATTATAAGAAGAGAAGAGATCTATACTTTATTTAAAGAAATAATTTTCTTTACTTTACTATAAGAAGAGAGAAAGTTTATTCTTTATTTAAAGAAATAAGTTTTTTATCTATAGCGAGAACACTACCTTTCTTTCTTTCTTATCGATATATATTATACATTATACTTAATAAGTATACTTAATAAGAGCTAATACCTAATAGCTTAATATAGCTTAATATATATATTTAGGTAATTAGATCCTATAGGAGAAGAATCATCTTTTTACCACTTAAGAAATGTCTTTCTCAGGAAACGTCTTCCTCAGGAATGAGATTCCTGAGGATCTTACGTTACCTTAACACGGATACGATCAGCATATGCTATGAGTTCATCCGGGGTTAAGCGAGCATATGCCGAAGCTTCACCCCTGCCGAACTTTTTTTCACCCCTGCCGAGCTGTAACCCGGAGCTGGGGAGGAGATAATCAGAAAGGATCGTCTTGCCGAGGCACTTATAATTAAACCCGTGTCTTAATCTCCGCGAGGGACCAAAAACCCCACCACCGGAGCTGGTGGAGCCACCTGCAACTTTCGTCTCCCTGCCCCAGGTGAATACAGACGTTGAGCTGGAGTTCTAGGGTCAATCCGTCATCAACTGTAGGCGTCAGGGATCTCTTCTGACTCGATTCGACATTTGCTGACTGTTGATCATCGTGTCCAAGAAACCTTTCCCCAGCGGCCAAGATCCCGTCAACATCTTCCGTTCACCCATTTGGTCATTTGCCTAAATATCGTTCCCTCGGACAACTTGCACACCCTTAAGTCTGACGTATTGGGGTACACAACTCCTCTGATCAACCACAACTGACCAGTTCACATCACACCTGTCAAGACCACCAAGTCCATCTCCGCCTAACAGCACTTCTTCAACATGTCGAACACTGAAGCTATCATTCAAAGCGTTTCCATTCTCGGTGCTCTTAATGACCAAACCCGCATGATCTTAAGCAAAGATGCAACAGCCTTTCTTGCTCTACTGCACCGTTCGTTCAATGAGAAGCGCAAAGACCTCTTAGAACGCCGGGACATCCGCCAAGCTGAGCTGGACAAAGGAATCCTGCCAGACTTCTTGCCGGAGACTAAGCATATCCGTGAGAACGATGCTTGGAAAGGTGCCCCGCCAGCGCCAGGATTGATCGACAGGAGAACCGAGATCACAGGGCCCACGGACCGAAAGATGGTTGTCAATGCTCTGAACTCCAATGTCTGGACCTATATGGCGGATTTCGAAGGTTCGTATTCGCCTGTATTTCTATGTCCGATGCTGACCCTGCTCAAGATTCCAGTGCACCGACATGGGACAACATGGTCAATGGTCAGGTCAATTTATATGACGCTGTTCGAAAGCAAGTCGACTTCAAGCAAGGAGAGAAGGAATACCAACTCCGGACGGACAGGAAGCTCCCTACTCTGATTGCGCGTTCTCGAGGGTGGCACATGGTGGAGAAGCACTTCACAGTCGATGGTGAACCAATATCTGCAAGTCTATTCGACTTCGGTCTCTACTTTTTCCACAACGCACAAGAGCTGGTCAAGACCGGGACAGGGCCATACTTTTACTTACCGAAGATGGAGTCACATCTCGAGGCGCGTCTGTGGAACGATGTTTTCAACCTAGCCCAGGACTATATTGGCATGCCGCGTGGAACTATCCGAGGGACTGTTCTTATCGAAACCATTGTAGCAGCCTTTGAAATGGAAGAGGTAGATCTGCTTATCTGTGGGACGTTGATTATGCTGATGCTTCAAGATCATCTATGAGCTCCGTGACCATAGTTCTGGCCTGAATTGTGGTAGATGGGATTACATCTTCAGCGTGATCAAAAAATTCCGTCAGAACTCCAATTTTGTCCTCCCGGACCGCTCCGCAGTCACAATGACTGTTCCTTTCATGGATGCTTACGTCCAGCTTCTCATCAAAACATGCCACAAACGAGGGGTACATGCTATGGTAAGTTGAACCCATTCCCAATCACAGCCTTGAGCTCAGACATTTCAGGGCGGCATGGCAGCTCAGATTCCTATCAAAGACGATAAAGAGGCGAACGACAAAGCTATGGCAGGCGTTTATGCGGATAAACTCCGTGAAGTACGCGCAGGCCATGACGGCACGTGGGTGGCGCACCCAGCGCTGGCAAACATTGCGAATGAGGTGTTCAACAAGCACATGCCAACGCCCAACCAGCTATTTGTGCGAAGAGAAGAGGTGCGTATAACCGCCAACGACTTGCTCAACATGAAAATGCCGGGCACCGTTACGGAAGAAGGCATCAGGAAGAACCTCAATATCGGCCTCGGGTATATGGAGGGTTGGCTAAAGGGGATTGGTTGCGTCCCAATCAATTATTTAATGGTAAGGCATCCCAGCCATGGAGTCCCCGCATTGACTGACACGAGTGGCAATGTTTTAGGAGGACGCGGCAACTGCCGAAGTCAGTCGATCCCAATTGTGGCAATGGTGTAAACACGGTATCACAACAGCTGAAGGCACGAAGGTCGACAAAGTGTATGCGCAGAAGCTTCTCAAAGAACAGGCAGACGAGTTGTCCTCGAAAGCGCCAAAGGGGAACAAGTATCATCTTGCAGCTCAGTATTTCTCCGGTCAAGTCACTGGGGAAGACTATGCAGGCAAGTCTCATCCAAGGCTCTCGTTTTGTTGATCGGGGCTAATAGGTCGGCAGACTTCTTAACAACACTACTGTACAATGAAATCACGTCCGTAGGTCCTGCAGCCAAGTTGTAAAAAGACACCACCGGCGCAGTTTTTGGGGTTTGAGCATGTTCAATGGGTCATGACCGTAATCCGAGCTTGATGTTTCAAGTTCTGTTGACATCACATGTGTATGCTAGTCGATCGTGTGTTGTAAATAGCATCCTCGCAGAGACGTCTCAACCGGTATAAAGCATATTCTTTGGATCTGTCCAGTGAAAACCCAAAGAGGAGAGTTTCAAACCAAAGTACTATGCTCTCGAAGCAGGCCTAAGCTCAGGTATAGATGGCTGTAGAACACGCCTGAAACCTAACGCCGGCTATGTTCTCAGTCACCTTTCAGGATGCATTTTCGAGCTAGCTATCATGCTCTGGAGGCGGTTTTAGTTAGACACAAGAAATGCAATCCGTCTTTTCTGTTAGCCAGGTATGTATTCATCGTTGCAGACTCTCGTCTCTTATCTTCTCCCTTCTCCTTTGTATGTCTTGCGCTATTCTTCGCTGCTCCTCTGCGATATTAGCTCTTTGACGAGCTTCGTCTTCGGCAGCGGCTATCCATATTGGTTTGTCGGATTTGGAATATTCCTTGAGTTTGTTGACAAAGTTGTCAAAATCTTGCTGTTTCTGCTCCCTGTTCTCCAACGATCTCTTCTGGAGTTCTGGATTGTATTTCTGCTCCATATCAGCACATGTCCTGGGGGTGCAGCGGTCTGTAGACGACGTGCCTTGAATAATTCTTCTTCGGTAGGAGATACCCAGTAGACAAGGGCTGGGCCACCAACGCATATGACGACACCGCTAGGAACGGTCAAATGACATCTGCAATCATGAGGACAATTGGGCTGTGTCTCTTACGTGGACAGCATCTTGAACCAAAGCGCCGCTTTTGACATGATGGCAATTGAAGCCGTGAATGTCGATCCTTGTGGCCTAACAGATTCCGAGACTCGATGTGTCCGATATAGCAAAAGGCAATGTAAGGCAATGTAAGGCAGTGTAAGGCAGTGTAACAAGGTAGGCTGTCACTTATTGAAGAATCAAACACGAACCATGGAGAAAGTCATAAGAGCGGCGATTTCACTCTAAGAAAAGCAATGGTCTGCACCGCCACCACCGCCACATGTGAATGAGCCACATCAACAGACAGTGTAGGCCAATCGACTCCCTCACATTCTCAAGACCCGATTGGGAATGACGAACCCTATACAGCAGCCGTACGATTACTCAGCCTCGAGTTCCTGTAAAAAAAATACCGTACGCGAGCAATGTCTGGGTCGTGAATGTTTCCAATTCCTGTGCGGGCCCATGTTTTCAGGCTCTGTCAATCCGCTCCTTTGTTAGGCCTTGTGCTCCTGTTTTTTTGCATCACCCACCCCTGGATATCGCAGAGACTACGGTATTCTCGTGGTCTGGAAGTTATTCTTTGAAAGCGATCGTTCTATACTGTCAAAGTCTCACAGACTCCTTCAACCTACAATTCCTAAGCGTCCGCATAACAACTTGGATCTTTGTGCGAGTATCATCAATATCTTGAGGTTTACGGAGGTATTTGAGAGGAACCCGTTCATTATTCACATCAGGAGCGCGCGTTACCTTACATATTCATCAGGAACACATTAAAGATGAGCACCGGCTGAAGAGCAATTAGATTGCGTGTAGGGGATCTCATTGCCGTGACGCCGTCTGAACCAACTCTACCTCTGGCAATCTAATAAGCAGCCAATTTGGAGTCATGGCATATGCTCAGCAGCCACGATATGGCGGCCCACAAAGACCGCCCTACCAAGACCAGCAGGCCTCATATGGGTCTTCTCGAGAACCTTACGCTGCGAAGAATGGGTACGGCTCAAGAAGTCAAGCGGCGCACTTCAGTGGTAGCTCTCGACGGGGTCGTCCGCAGGTATTTCAAAGTACCAGTGAGCCATCAGGTGGATCCTACAGATACAACGAGGATTGGCCAGATCAAGACAACTCTTACGATGGCGGCAATGGGCGGCACGGAGGCAGGGGCCAAAACAGGGATGGAAGGTGGCCGCCCGCACAACGGCCACAGGGGAGACCAATGGAGGCAGGACGACATCCTCGCAATGATCCTCGAAGTCGAGGCTTACCGCAATCAAAAGTTGCAGCACCCGGTAGAGATCACTATCACCAGCAGGACCCGTACTACCAGTCGAACCAATATCGTGAGCCACAAGGTTATGAACGGCACTATCAACCAGAAGCAATGCACCACAATGGCTTACAGGAACACAACAACGGCGAGCATGAGTACGATGAATTTTCTCACGAGACCCCAGACAATTCGACAGCAACGCAGCACTACAATCGTCCTCCTCACAGCGACGAACAGGATTACCAAGACCCCGAATACAATGCTGGGTATCCTCAGCAAGACCGAGGAGGTCCACACGACCGAGGGATCTCTTCAGGCAACTTCAGGAATGATCGACCTCCTAGACAGCCGGAAGCACCAACATCTAGGTTCAACCAGAACCAACCCCACTCCACCAGACCTCAAAACTCTCAGCACCCGAAACCCTGTAAGTCGGCCAAAGCGTGACAGCAAGCTCAAAGGTGTGTATCGAAATGCCAGCTGACCATTGGTTCAGCTACTGATAGGGTCATCCAAACACCGATATCGCATGATGCAGTCGCCTGGGATAATCCCTTTCCAACATTTCCCTTGAGGCCCAATAAAGTCGGATATGCAAATTCCACGGGTCATGATGGTGCCATGGGATCAACAAGCCTGCGTGATGACTCGCGGCAAGACAAGACTTACGACAATAGGCCGCAAACTGCAGGCAGCAAGAGCAGCTATGCTTTGTCGCCTAATGGCACAGAGAAGCTGAACGGAAATGATCTTCAATTTCAATCAAACACTCCGCCTTCAGCTATATCGGAAACAAATTCCAATAGCAAAGGTGGAGGATACTTCGATCACCAGCCACAGCCTGAAAGGGATGCAGGGCAGTACCGAGGAACAGCACAAGACAGGCCTAGACCTCGCGACAATGGTCGTCGTGGTGCGCGGGTAGATCAACTCAAGCCTATAGTCAACGGTCGACACTCAGAAGACAACCGGACGAGACCATCACTTCCATTTGACACCAGAATGGACACAGAATATGAGCGAAGCAGAACTCTGCCAACGGCGATCTCTGGAGCAAACCTGGGATCTGCTCGCCCACCAGATCAGTCGGCCTGGCAGGAGCCTGGTTTCGTTGCTGGTTACCACGGTCCTGAAGACAGAGGGTATACGCCAACTAGTCCAGCAAATAAGTCTCCGCAAGGATCTTTTCCTCAGCCCAAACCATATTCGGATGAAGGTAGACCAACCCAAGTCGACGCAGTGGTTCATGCACAAAGCACGGGTTCTCGTCAGCCACATGCCCAAAACGACAGTCTCGGCGAATTCTTTGACACTTATTATGACACAAGCCAGGATGACCACCAGCCATATCTCCAGCACAAAGATCGACAGCACCGATCTCCCGCTGACGAAGATATGCCAAACTTTGACGGTGGACCTGCGCCGAGCGCTGGTCGTAGACGAGGGATGACCATCGACGACCATCTGCAGCCACAACCAAGAACTCAAGAATTTCCACCAGTGCCAGTTCCGCCACGGGACGATGTACGTGGAGACCATAGGAATGATCCATCTTCGAATGCGAGACATCCCCGGAGTAGATCACAACCCAATTTCAAAGACCGGCGATCACCGAGGCCACCGCTCGATGATGGATTCGACTTTGGTGTGCCTGGAGCTCCCGATAGACCGTCTGCGACAGCTCCCGTTCGAAATGAGTATGGTCCTAGCGCCCATAGTACTATGGCATCTCCCAATGTAAGGCCAGATCACTACCAACAAGACCGCCAGTATCAGGGATCAATGCCTTTAAAAGGATATCGTCCCAATGATCACAACAGAGCAAATATGCCGCCTCCCGCACCCGCTACACCCCTAACGGCATATCAAGGCAACGGGCCGCCTGACCGATATTGTTCACCGCCAGTGCAAGATGGACATTCGCGACAGATGGGACCGCCTGGTGGTAGACCATCTCCAATCAACAATCGAACAGGACCCACGTCGCCCCCTATCGCGTCACCATCAAATCCGGATGCATTACCATCGCATCCTGCGCCAGTCAGACCCGGTTTAATGCAAAGCTCTCCCGTCAATGAAGCGCCGAAGCCAGTTCCTCTCAGGCAGTACGACTCCACACCCTCGCCCATGCAATTATCGAGTCCCACTAAAAATCCAGGATTCTCGCGCTCCATAAACATCAAACAAGAGTCTCTGCCAGTGACTCATCAGGAGCTTGAAAGACTTAAGCAGGCCACGACGAGGAACCCTGACGACCCAAAAAATCAACTAGTCTTGGCCAAGAGAATGGTTGAAGCGGCTTCCGTTCTAGTTGATGAGCGAGCTGATCCGAGGACACGCAACAAAAGTCGTGAGAAATACATCCTAGATGCTCACAAAATTGTCAAGAAACTTTCCAATAATGGATATAGCGAAGCTACGTTCTACCTGGCCGACGCGTATAGCCGCGGATCACTAGGCTTGGAATCTGATACTCGAGAGGCTTTCAAGCTCTATCAATCAGCGGCAAAAGCAGGCCATGCTCAAGCCGCCTACCGAGTGGCAGTATGCTGCGAGATAGGACATGAGGAAGGTGGAGGTACAAGCCGGGACGCTGTGAAAGCTATGCAGTGGTATAAAAGAGCCGCGACTCTGGGCGACACGCCCGCCATGTATAAGATGGGCATCATTTCATTAAAAGGATTGTTGGGCCAGCCAAAGAACGCCAAAGAAGCCGTTGTCTGGTTGAAACGAGCGGCGGAACGCGCGGACGAGGAGAATCCACATGCTTTGCACGAACTTGTGAGTCCGCCGATCACAGTCAAAATTGCGGGGCATGATGGAAGCTGACACTATCGCAACCTAGGCTCTTCTGCACGAGAAACCCAGCAGCAACGAGGGTGTACCAAGGGACGAAGCATACTCGAAGCAACTCTTCGCTGAAGCAGCCGATTTGGGCTACAAGTTTTCGCAATTCCGTCTCGGTTGTACGTATGAATACGGGCTGATGGGATGCCCGGTTGATCCCAGACAAAGTATTGCTTGGTACAGCAAAGCAGCAGTGCAAGAGGAGCATCAAAGCGAGCTTGCCTTGAGCGGTTGGTACCTTACGGGGTCTGAAGGGGTACTGCAGCAAAGTGACACAGAGGCCTATCTCTGGGCTCGTAAAGCTGCTCAGTCGGGGCTGGCGAAGGCTGAATATGCTATGGGTTATTTTACAGAAGTGGTATGTCCTGACCAAATTCACAGTCCTCATCTTCGACAACAGTGCTTACTCCGAATTACTTATAGGGAATCGGAGCTCCCGCAAACCTTGAAGACGCAAAGCGCTGGTATTGGAAAAGTGCAAGCCAAGGCTTTGAGAAAGCAAGAGGTAGACTCGAAGAACTAAGGCGAGGGAACCCAGCGAAGCAAAAGACTCGAGTCTCGCGATCTGCCATGAGGAGGAACAGTGAGGGAGAGTGTACCATAATGTGATCATAGGGGAGTGGGGACACAAATCCAATCCGACTTACTTGGAAAGCGTGAGGATAAGCAGCACCATCGACCATGGAGGCTTGTGTATATCATACCTGTTGAACCTGCCGAAAAAGTCAATAACGCACCGTTGATGTTGACAAGAGTCGGTGAAGAAAAAGTAATCTATGAAGCAATCTCTGAAGCATCTCTGTACAGTCTTGTATAATAGACGTCGGCTTTCGGGCAGTCTTGCATGTAGGCTTTTATCTGACTTTCGTAGGATCTTGGGTATCAAGCCGAAGGAATTGATGGGCAGCTCACCGCATCGGTATGGTCTAGGTACTTGAGATCCAAGGGATGCCTCCATCCCCTCGAGGACGAGGACAGGTTCTTGGCAGCGGAATATAGTGGACCCGATGTGATTGAGTATTTAGGGCTAGGGCTAGGGTTCGGGCTAGGGCTACACGGCGATTCATTGTAAAGACTGTGAGGAAACAGCATGTAGGCAGGTACGCCCCTCCTTGTGCGTTGAGATTTCCTTGTGAATCACAGCCTTGCGTCTCTCCGATCCCAGTGTCACACAAAGACAGATCCGAGAGGGGCTTGCCGATACCGCCCCGACGATTAGCAATCAAGAGGATTGCCAATAAAATATCGCCTTGCTTTGCAAATGGGTCTATTGTAGTAATACACCCCTTGAAGGAAGTTGACTTTGTACTGAACAATGATATAAAAAATAAGACCTCCGAGTCCAGTGGTACATGTTTTTTGGCCTTCGTTCTCCAACCATCACGGCCCTCTCTCTCTCCTGGTCTCGATCCTAGCTGTTTCACTCGCATCCCAGGCTTCCTCGCCCTGGGAAGACTTCACTTCTACTCTCAAACAAGACTGGTCAAACAACCTGCGCGCTGATTCGCGTATCCTCAAAAGTGCCGTCAGCATCTCCACTACAAAACTGATGGCAGCCAAAACCCCTGTCTTCTTGTGCGTCTTTCTCCATCTCCCATGCTCTATGAGATCTTTACGTCTTGGTCCACACTAACCCCTCATCACAGCCTTTCCCATGGTGGAGTAAGTCAGCCTTTAGCTGGTTCCATGAGATAAATCGTCCCTCCTCCTGCGAATATGTACTTGCGCTAACCCATAGAGGCCAGCCCAACGTCATGTATGATCTTAACCACCCGGTGTATAAGAAACTGCAGGGCATAGGCAAAGATATCACAACAAAAGTGAAGCCCAAGGCCGTCGTTGTATTTTCCGCACATTGGCAGTCAGAAGGAAGCAACAAAATCCAAGTCAACACAAAAGAAAACGCGGACTTGATTTATGAGTAAGGGGATTCAAAATGCTGTTGATCAATAATCTGACCGGAATGCAGTTTCTGTGGATTTCCCGGACACTATTATCAAGGTAATTCACCCGGCATGAAACTAGGGAATGCTGAAACTTCGCAAAGAGAAATATCCAAACGTTGGCAGCAAGCAAGTAGCTGCGTTGGTCATAGATGCGCTCCGATCAAATGATATCGAGGTTGAACCGGTCGACAGAGGCCTGGATCATGGAGTCTGGGCGAGCTTCAAGGTGGCTTTTGATCCAGAAGAAAACCCTTTGAACGCACCCCTCGTGCAAGTCTCTCTCTTCTCTTCAGAAGATCCTTACCAACATTACAACCTGGGCCGAGCGGTGGCCAGTCTTCGCTCGCGAGACATTGCCATCATCGTCTCTGGCATGGCCGTGCACAATCTCCGCGATTTTCGATTCACCGCGGGAACTTCGCGGCCAATGCCCTACACGATTAGCTTTGATGAGGCCTTGAAAGACGCCGTAACCAGTCTTCCTGCAGAGCGTGAGCAGAAGATGGCAAATCTCCTCACGCGACCAGATGCGAGGCAAGCACATCCAACATTTGATCATTTGCTACCCATCTTTGTTGGTGCGGGTGCAGCAGGAGACGACGTTGGGGAGCGGCTATGGACCCTGAAGGAAGGTTCTTTCAGTTGGGCTCAGTACAGATTCGGTGAAGTGGGGGCCAATTAACGACTCAAATTTGAGACACCGATGCCTCGAACAGACTCTCCTAGGGGTCGACGAGGTTTTCGGTAGGCACAAAGCGAAGGCAAAATTTCTCGTTTGTACAATATCAATGGATGAAAAGCCTCGACAACGGCGAGCTCCAGTGGCAAACAACCCCTACGTGTAGATTACCAACAATCCAGGAAACACAAGGAACGCAAGGTTTGCGTGACAAGACTCTCAAAGTTGCAACATGAGAAAATGGAAGCCCTAAGAAAGGCAGACTTTGATGGCCACAGGCCCCGAAGGGTGCAATATTGAATGTCGGTAGAGACCTCTGGTCTGAAACCTGAAGGCAAATGAATTGTAAAAGGAGTGGTTTCAATTCAAGCAGTTACTGGAATAGTGACTATCTTCCAAAGAGACCAAGCTCCCCTTAATCTTCTTCCCTCCTATCTACACTGGCTCCTTGACCAACACCGTTATCCTTTCTTCAATCTCTTTGTCGTTGAGACCTTCAACATATCGGTCAGCTTTGGAAGTTCGATCTCATACATTTATAGGCACCCTACCACTTAGTGATTCCCGCTTTTCCTTGCCGTATTCTGCGTGTATGCATCAGCTCTGGCTCAAACGCCGTGCAAGGACCAAAGCGTACCGTATCTGGCGAAAACAGTCGGCTCGGTATCCAAAGCTTCCCTAAGCATAATTGGTGTATGCGGATTATTCTTTTTCATGGTGGGATAAGCTCTTATAAGAAACGACCTGAGCCGGGCGCTTTTTAAGTCTGTGCGTTTGCTAGAATGAATGCGATTGCTCGAACCTTGTAGCTGCGCTGTGGTCCGAAGTCTGGCAGAAAAGGAAGCGCACCTCCTTGAGGGACTTGGTGAAGGCATACTTGCCCGACATGGTGGATTGGTAGCTGTCAATTGAAGGCGAAGCTATGGTTCCGAGTTCGAGCATCGCCATTCAAGCTCTAGAGTAGTGCCGGAGATTAAATTTACTGCCGGCTGACCGGCGACTCCAAGCTTCAATTCCCCGACCTCCATCATCAGCTTCATCGGCCAGACTCCGCTGCTGTCTACCCTGTCAACATGTCCTCACGAGCTGGTCTGCGATTCTTTCAGAGCGCGAGGTTCTCCCGCGCTTTTACTAAAAAGCCATTGGGAAGAAGATACCGGACTGCAGATGCGACCGCTGCTCCTACAGAAGGAATTGTTCAGCGATTATGGAACAGTCCTGTGGGTGTCAAGACTGTGCATTTCTGGTAAGGAGCTTTTACCCTACGATTCGTCAATCACTGATATCGTGTAGGGCCCCAGTCATGAAGGTGCGTCTACGAAAATGCTCCGTAATACCAATGGAACCTCGCAACTGACTTCAGGACAGTGGAGCATTGTCCTCGCCGGAATTAGTGACTTTGCTCGACCAGCTGAAAGTCTCTCCCTGACCCAGAACGTCGCTCTCACAGCCACCGGCGTAATTTGGACTCGGTGGTGTTTTGTCATTAAACCGCGAAACCTTCTGTACGAACAGACATCAATCTAGGTGTTTCCTTTCAAAGCGAGACTAACAACCTTCTCAGATTGGCTGCCGTAAACTTCTTCCTGGGGTGTGTAGGTGTGACGCAAGTGATTCGGATCCTCATGCATCAACAGAGCCAGGAGGCTGCTTCAGCGGGGCAGATCGCAGAGCAGGACGCGAAAGATATAGCAAACACCGTCAAGGGCATTGCAACAGATCCTGAGGGCGCGGCTCAAAAGGCTGTGAAATGAGCAATGTTTTGTTCAATCGTCAGCGCGGGGGCTTGAATTATGATGTCGCTGCGCATTGTCCCGTCTCACCATCAGCTGTGCTTCCGTCACCAACGTGGATAGACAGATGGAAGAAGAAGAATGAGTTGGACATCTATCCTGCCATCCTGACTGTTTGGTCCATGGCCATTCCTATAGGAACTAGGCCATGAATTCGAAGAGTAAATCCATCCGTGACTAGAGCTAAGTGCTACTGCTATCTCCAATATCAACCAGAGAACATTCACCCGATTCAGTCAACAGAGGTAACATTTGAAACGAATTAACCTTAAACTCTGCCATGCCATGAGGCTCCTGCTTGCTACCAAGACTGAACCAGCGACATACACGGAAGTCAGTCAATACTAGCAATACTTGGTGTCCTCCACACTTTGTTGTACTCTTTCCCAGATTCAACCAACGACACCCACCGAAGTCAGTCAATGTAGGAATAACGAACACAGATTTTTTTTGTGAGGTCTGCCATGCCAACGCTTGGTCCTCCGAAATTGTGTAATCGAAAGGGATGAACCCTCATCATCCCGCACGCTATGCTGGTCGAGACCTGGTTTATGTGACAGGCCGTAATTTGACAACAGTGATGTGATTTAAGAAGACCGACTCCAGCAGATATGACCCCCAGCATATCCGATGTGGAACTTTCGGATACCGCACGCTATGCCCAATGATGAGGCGCTGAGATGGACGATGCTAAAAAGATTCCCGAAACATGACGACTCCACGTTATGCTCCCCGATGAAATTGCTGGACTGTGGGAAGGCTTGATGGGCCTAGCGCTACTCGTGAATATAGGAAGTCGATGGAAAGCACTTAATGCCGCGTGGATAGAATGCCTAGTGATAAAAGGTGTTATGCAAAGTGGTGAATGCTACCGGCATCGAGACCGGAGTGCCAGCTCCTCTCTATTCGTCCTTTAGATTGCAAAAATTGGTGTTGAGATATGTGTCCATCCAGTTCCAGAAACACCAGTACCAACTCGCTCTAGACCAGTCAAAGTCGCCGTTCTCCGTTAGATGAGGTCCGTTGCCAATGAAATCACCAGGGATCACGCCCCAGCTTCTGAGCCACTGGACCTGTCGGTCGGTCCAGGTTGGCTGAGGCAAGAATGCTTCAGTTGCAGGACGAAGTACGGTGCGTGGCCGGTCGGTAAAATATCTCATCATGGTAAGATTGGACTCTGGAACCGATGTATCTGTAAGTTTTTGAGTAGTAGAAGAGGACCTATTGTCTTCGGCCTGAGATGGGTGACGGTTGCGGAGATCAGGATCATCCGGACCAGTGGCCGTGGCCGATGATGCTGTAGAGGAGGAAAATGATGCGGCGTCATTGGGTCGTTGATTGTTTGCCTGTGTAGTAGCGGGCATGCCGAAAGACCTCGGAAGTGTAGATGTTGGACGTTGCTGATTGATCGCATGCTGCGAGAAGGCGGCACTCAGTGTCTGAGGAGGCCTGCGTTGAGGTTTTGGGCTTCCAAAGGATCCTCGCCGTTGGCGTTCTTCCCGGACTGGAATGGGCAGGTCAGTTTCGGGCCGCGTGCCGTTGTATAGCTCGGCGTACACCCAGTGTCCATGAACCTGTTGCGGTGACATCTCCACAGCTCGGTCCGCAGCTTCTGCTGAATCGCAAGTGAGCCGCACCCAGCTTTCGCCTCCAGCATAATGTCTAGCCATCTCACGCTCTGGATCAGTAAGTTTTCTCGGGTGGACAGAAGGTGAGCTGAGGGTGTTGGGATATCTTCGCAGCTCGGCAGGTGGTCGACGAGCGTAGTCCTCGCAGATCAGGCCATGGGAAATCTTCTCGTAGGTATCGATAGCCGCCCATTGTGTACTTGGGGCGAAGCCGGACACTATGATCTGTGTCGGCTCTTTGTTGTGCGAGGGCCGATGATGTGAGGCAACATTGCCATCATTCTGGCTTCGTGTAGATACGTTCGCCTGCCGGGGGGACTCGATGGCTCGCTGAGTGTCGTAGTTCAAGGCTGACAGAAAACCGTCCAAGGTAGGGTTGATTTCTTTCTTTGCTGGAGTTGCACTTCTGGTTCTAGAGGGAGTTTTGCGTCGTGTCGATTTGCCGAATGAGCCTTTCTCTTCGACAAGGCGTTTCTGACCACGCGGGGCATCAGGGTGACCGCTACGCGGAGGTCAGTAAGTCGGGTAATGAAGCTGGGAAGAGATTGGTACGCTGGATACTCAAGGGCGAAGGGAAGCTTGCCTCCTTTGCCATCGGGGGCTCGCTCCTCGAAAGGGACGCCATGGAATTGCGTTGGTCGGCCCGTGCCTGGCATCATTGTTTGTCTCTTTATTAGAGGAAGAGAGACGGAGTGTCTTGGGAAGGTATTCGTGAGGTGCTTCATAATAGGTCGGCGGCACTGGCGGGTACCTCACAGACGGATAAGGCTGAAAGGGGATTGTCGGTGTCGATTAGAATGGCAAACGCTACTGCAAGGCTAACCCCAATATAGATTAGGTGATAAATCTACGCGACTCCTCAAAGTCGCTCACTCGGGCAAGCACAAAGCTATTTAAATCGTTGATTATGTTCCATCGCCGAGGTTCGTATATCTAAAACTGTAGAGACCCCCGCTTAGAGGGTTGTTTGCCCCTTCCATCAGCCTATATTTAGCCCGATTAATAGAAGAACGACGACAGAAAGGTGGAAAGATAAAGAAACTGTGTGTACGCGTCTGTTACTTATCACCTAATCTATATAGGGGTTAGCCTTGCATTAGCGTCTGCCGTTCTATTCGGGACTGAATTGTCGAAGAAGGGGGGTCCTCTGATCTGTGCCATCAGATTTTCCTTCTTCTCTTCTTCTTCAAATTCCAAAATTGCATGTCTGCCGCATACTTCCTGCGTTCGCAGCCCAGTACAGTCACCATATCTACTCCCCTCGCTCACTCGCATATCGTTGCATCGAGTGGTGAATTCAGCTTTTTCCGAACCCGGTGGATGCCCAGTATATCGATACAAGTTTGCCAGACTGCTATTTAATTATCTACAAATTCGTTTGCCCTGTCTGATTTTCCCTTCCTGCTCTGACCCCTTGACTTCTCGCCTCTCCCTCTCCCATGATATCCCCCACCTCCTTCAGCCCGACCAGCACCACCACGACTGGCACCGGCCTTCCCTCCCTTGCCTCCATCTCGGCCACCTCCTCTGCCAGCGTTTCTTCCCATGTTGAACTCGATCCTTCTCAGGGGCTGCTCAATCCACTCGGTACCCGCCAGCTTCAGTTCCGCTTTCAGTTCGTCGTTCATCTTCCACGGCTGGAAGACGATCTGAGGCTCATTCAAAGAGCGTAGTTCCACCACCCAAGTTTTGATATAATTACCCTGGGTGTCGTAATCGTTTGCTTGCTTGACAGGATTAAACACCCTTGCTTCCCTCGGATCGTTCCCGACGCCCGCAACATATTGCCAATTCGACCAGTTGTTGGAAAGGTCGTAATCTACTAGGCAACTCTCATACCATTCTGCGCCAATCCTCCAATCAATGGCCAGATGTTTTGCTAGAAAAGACGCGACGTTCTGTCGAAGTCGGTTACTAGTATAACCGGTAAGAAATAGTTCTCGCATGCTGCCGTCAATTAGCCCTGTGCCCGTTGTACCCTCCAGAAAACGAGTCACTCTTCGTTGACTTTCTTTGTCCTTCTGGGGGTATCCCCACGAGGACGCCGTGTCATTCTTGAAGCCTTCGATACGAAAAAGTCGTGGCCCAAATTTGCGGGTGGTTAACCGGAAGTAGTCCCTCCATAGTAGCTCAAATCGTACTGCTGCAGTGCCCTTATTCTCGCCCTTTCCGTAACCGTGCACCCCTTTGCCAAGATCTGTCTTGCCATCTTCGAAATTCAGAAGGAACTCATGGACCTGCCGTGCTGTGATACAGCCAAGTGCAAGCCATGAGGAAAGCTTAGTGCTGAAGTCTAGCCCAAGTAGACCATTGCGGGTTTCTTTGTACGTGGAAAAACTGCCGCTGGTGACGAGATGGCGGATGCGCTCTTGCCCAGCGGTCTCCCCGCCATGGAAAGGGTGCGCGGAAGTTGCCTTTGTGGGCCATGTTGGTGGATTGGAGAGACCTAGATTTGGATCCAAAGGTTTGTGAAGTTTTGCGATGGTGTCTTCGACCGTTGTTGGTATCGTAAAAGGGTGGGGTTGGGAGGGTATTGAAGGTGGCAGAGGTGGCAGTTTCGAGGGGGAACGAAGGACCCGACGAGGGGCCTCTCTGAGAGGTTCAACCTTTTTGCGGTAGGACGTAAAGACGTCAGGCAAGTCTTTAGGGTTTCGAAATGGAATGTCGCGGTCATCTATATAGTATTTCTCATCTGTCCACAGCTTAAATTCGGTTCCCGCCCTCTCAGCGGCCTCCTTTACATCTCGCTCTTCCCTCTTTTCTTCCACACCTTCTTCATCTGTCATCCAAACCGCGACGACCTCTGCGCTCGCTTTCTTGAACGCATTGAGTAATTCCTGGATTACCTGTCCTGCCAATCCGACTCGAATCTCCAGGCCACTGCCAGTATTATGTAACGATCTTTTCAGATCCCAAACACTCTCCGCCAGGAACTTGGCCCTGTGGTGGCCGCATCTCCAGAATCCGGCGGCATTCGATCGAGCCTCCGGAAAAGGCGAAATTTCGGAATCGGAAGAAAGGAAGCCGGAAACTTCTATCTGCTGTGCCGCGAATACGTAGATTGGAAGGAAATGGGTGTAGGGATGCTGGGACTGCTGAAAGGTTCTGGCAACCTCGGTGAAAACAGGATTATCAGCGAGGCGGAGATCTCGCCTTAAGAGATATATGAGGATACGGGGAGAAGACATGTGGGGAGGAAGTCACGGGAGATGGACGCAAGTTGCAACGGAATTAGCAAGTCGCGAAGGGGCGATGTTCAGCGTCAGGTGGGAACATGTAAGGCGCTTTCCGGAATGTTAAGACGAAGAAATGGTTACCAATGGCCCAATTTTGCATCCTGTAGTCGTAGTGGACAAGCTTGACAAGTTATTCTCGTATTCGAGAATCAGGAGATATCATCATCGTATATCACATACTGTCTCCAAAATATGTTGAAACTCCGGGAAGTGCCGTATCGAAAGTTTCAGCTAATTTACTCCACGGCGCTCGAAAGCCATAACCACGGCGTGAGGAGACTAGCAGAAGTGTGAAATTCATGATAATGATGTGTTGATTTGTTGACTCGCCGGCAAGATCGATCGCCAAGCTACAAGAAATGTACCCCGATCTCAACCCCCTATCAGGTCCTAGGTGAGCGCCGCCTTAGCATCGTCCCAGCTGGGTCAGTGTCGCGCGATTGTGGGTGGCGTTGGAATGCCTGGTTGCCTTCCTGCCTGCTTATCAGAACTACCATGATCCTCCTCTCCTCCTCCTTCTAATTTATGTTTCAGGGGGAGTTTCTCATTGAGGCACGATCTATTATCAATCTAATAAGCGAATACAACAAAGCTTGCTTGCTCAAATCAAAACAATGCCGCTGATGTTGTAAAGAGGAAGTGAAAGTCATTTCCGCAGTGTGAAACAGTCGCCACCAATTTTCCTGCCACTCATATCAGATGTATGCGTCTCAATCTCGACTTCTTTCCTACAACGATACCCGACGTATGTATCTCACCCCGAGATCTAAAGCCTCGCACTAGCTTGAGCGGTGGCTCTGGTATTTGGTTCGGACAATAAAGGCCGCCAAGTTCCTTGCTGCTGCAAGAACATCAGCTCTGTCGGCATTTCTCTTCCCACCTTGTACAGTTGGACAGAAGTAAAGAGCTTTTACTATGGTTCAATAGGCATGCTGGCCTTGAAGGCGAAGGTTCGTAGATGGGGCTCTGAAGATTCTGGATGCCAGGCCTGAGTATGGATCGGCGATTGAAACTCGATCCATACCGTGAGGTCTTTTTGCACGAATGACTTTGGCAAGCTTGTTTGGGAAGATTCCACAACATATGCTCCCCTCCCAAAGATAGAAGAGCAGCGTTCAGATCTATCCCGCCATTGATCATGTTCAAGACTCTTTCTTCGTTTTTGACTCACTTCATCTTGGCGATAATTTTTTTTGGTCAAAAAAACTCTCAGAACCGCCCTAGTTTCTGGTTGAAATTTTTGATAGGGTTGCTCGAAGGAGGGGGGTTTAAGGTGACGGTCGAATGCTCATTTCCAAACGCACTTCCTCGTCCAGTGGCTCGTCAGGTTCCAATTCAGTGTTGACTGGATCGATCTCCTCCACTTCACTCACATTGCCTTGGCCGGAGCAATCTCCGTCTTCGAGCATCTTAAGCACTTCTTCCTCATGTGCAATTTCGAAGGTCCCTGGTGCCTCCAAGTCTGGATCTTCGACGTGGGTGTCTACTTCTTTTTCAATATCCTTGCCTTTCCCACTCAGCCTCTGTTTCAAGGGCTGTTCTTTTTGATCAAAGAATTCGCTCACCGCTCTCATACTCTCTGCCGAACACCGCCCCCCTGTTCCTAGACCTAGCAGCAGCTTTGATACCTCGTTTTTCAGACGATTTTCCGGGCCTCCGATATCTTAACCCACATATCAGCATGTGAATAGCCCCTCCGGTAGTTGTACCGCCGACTTTCGCAAGTTGTTCGATCTCAGTGTCATTTTCAAACCCCAGTTGAAACAACCATTGCCTGAGAAAGTGTCCAAGCGTGGCAATCCTAATCGCGTTGCCCTGCTTTTCTGCTCGAACGGCATCGAAGATCTGACCTAGAGCGCCCCGGTTCTCATGCTACCTATGTTTGAGATCTTTCAGACCTACGATCAGTGAGGCGATCTTCAACGCAAGGCTCATTTGATGACTCAAACGCCAACAGGAGGTATAGAGCACTTTGGGAAGGTCCGGCACATCAAGGTAAACTCTTTGGATCGTGCCGTCCGACACATCTACTCAAAAGGTGATTTGATGACCTCTCAGCTCAGACTTGAGAGGAGGGGAAAGGCCACTGTCGAGTAGCCTTGTAATATATCGCTGTGCTATATCACCGCTTACAAGGACCACTCGCGCAGCGCTCTTGTCCAACATCCATTACGTCAGCGCCGAAAGATAGTCAAACACTATATTCGGCTTAGAAATCTGATTTAGCTGGATCTTCCTTGGTGAGCCAAAGTCAATAGGCCATATCATTGAGCTTGTTGCTGTGAGACCAGCTTTCTCCAATCGAAAAGGTAGAACATTGTAGGACTTCTCCTCTGGGCTGGACTCTCCACTGAGAAATCCCGTACACTATGGCGATTTCGCTGCCCAGAGACCCAGGCGGAAGGTCTAGAGAGAAGTTTAGGCCCAGGTCTTCGCGGATATCTTGAGCATGAAATTCGAATTGTTCTCTCAGATTGCTTGTAGTCACCGTCTGCCTCTTGACTTGAACGCTACTCTCTTTTTCATTAGGATCAGCAATTAATGGAAACAACTCGCGGATGGCCTGATTGAAAGCCGGCAAATACTCTCTAAAAGAAGGTACCCCTGAGGGTCTTGAGACAATCGGGCCGACCTGCTTGCTCCGAAAATTCGGCCAACTTTGTATCCCTGGGTCGGAGAATTTTGGCAATTTCGCCCGACCACCACCTCTCTTGTCCTTGTTCTGCCAAGCTTCTTGTTCGAAAGGACATAATACATTCAAGTGTACCATTTGTCTTTTGGCTGGGCGCCTGGAGTTGGGGGAGTATTCTGCTAAAAGTTCCTCCGGAAGTGACCTGAATGCCAGCGCCATGATCATCTCGAGCATGCCGAGTATTGAATAGTGTCCCTATTCGATGAATTTTTGTTGTGGGAAACCGAAATAGTTGTAGGAAATGGCTCTTTCGAGAGCATTTACTAAGAGCATAGATGTAGTAGTGTAATGGCTCAACACTATCACTTAAGAGAGGCACGACATGCCCACGACTTCGAGAACGCACGTTGGTTGACTGTTCAACATAAAGGCGACAATAATTGTCTTCTCGATCATCGGTTAGGGAATCGAAATATCCTCCAATACCATCAAAGATCTCTCCATCTGCTTTTTGACAGCGAATATTCTCTAGCAGTCCGGGGGTTACTGCTTTGTCTTCTAGCCCCCGAATTTTCGGATCAACGCAGTCCAAGAGAGCGATGCAGAGATCGTCAGGATCGTCAAACTTGTCGATGTAGTTCTTGAAGTACCTCAAATCTGGCTTGCTTGTCTCACGAAGGACCTGAATCAAATGACGGGTGATTCCTTCAAGGTCGGGAAAATTTCCACAAGTACATCCGATACTCTCGTACTCGAGTTCGGCTTGGCTCTGTCTATCTTCTTGCTGAACTCGTGACTGTTTGTCAATGATAGAGGGCTCGTCTGACTCTTGCCTTTGATGCTCGAATCTTGTAGGCTCATGGTTTGCTGAAAGATGACCGATAGCGTGGACTCTCGTTTGAAGAGGGCAAAAGCGCTTGTCGCCAGTTCTGTGACCTTGCTTTTGCAATCTTCGCACCAGAGCTTTTGAGGTTTAGGACATTTACTGCTGGAATGGCCCTCAGCGGTGCAGCAATTACAAGGGCAGTTCAGGGCAAGTCTGTCTGAAAAAACCTTGATTGCCACATCCCCTGCAGAATTTGTTTCTTCATGAATGACCATTGTGAATCTGAGCTTCGTAAGACCAACCAAAGATTCTCTTTGTTGAGAGGGAGTGTCATATGATAGGGAAGTTTTGTAAAGTAGGGTAAAAGAGCATAGCAAGATCAGAGTGGGGGGCACATTTCTCAACCAAGCCGCCGCTTACGATCAAGCGCATCCCTTCCCGCATGCCATGCAAGATTCTGGACTCATCCCATGCTAACCAGATAAGGTCGTTTTCCATTCGGCCACACATTGAGATGATAATAGCTCCTAGCCAACCTGCGTGTTGATGCTTGGGAGGGTGCTCAATTGCCAGATTTCCTCCTCTGATACCCTTGCAGCTAGTATCTCTTCTAGTAAGTTGTACCAAGACAACTCAAGAGAGTACAAGTACAAAGTGGAGCGAAAAAAGGTCGAATGAAAATTCTCACTCAGCCGGTGCGTCCATATTACTCAAACACACCACGAACGGCCAAGTATCACAATATCTTCGAGCTACATAGAAAACATGGATGAGTGTTTCAGGAGGCATTTGCCGCTAGGCAAGGATTGTTCGTATTTCGAGCAGGTGCTTCTGTGCTAGAACGTCATGATATTGACGGCCAATGACCAAGGAACCGTCTGTTCACAAAGACAAGGTACCAGCTCTAGCTCATGAAAGTATGGCAAAATGCTGCACATGAGGCGGAGATCGATTCCTTCTGTACTCCGGGCTATCCTGTAGTTGACCAGCTTTGTTTTGCTTATCCTGATCTTCGTCCACATTTCTGGATCTAACCTTCTCCCACATCCTCGCGTGTCCTTCCGAGGCCCGCTCATTCGACTTTGCTCTCGAAGTTCTCTCCCTCTACCAGTTCTGGTATATCATCGTCGTCTTCATCCTCCGCCTTTCCACCCTCCCCTCCATCCTTCTTCTGTAAGCTCTGGTAGCTCTCGGCTAATTTGCGCAAAGATGCAAGGCTGTCTGGGCCAAGCTGGTTCAGGATACCGGGGACAAGCTCGGTGAGTTCTTTGTCCTCGCCGGCGCCGTAGATGGCAAAGGTGTTCGAAGGGACGGATGCATGGACTATTCGAAGAATTCTTAGTCAATGTATGTATAGGGAAGCAGCTGTGACGGGAGGATACAGGAGGAAGGAAGTGACAATGGAAGGGGGGGAAAACGGATGTAGAATCTTTGGGAGTGGAATTGGAATTGGAATGTACCTTTAGGCGCAGCAAAGTGGATCACATTTCCGTCTTCTTTGAACATGTTGACCTCTTCAATGGCTTGAATAGGCTGGACGTTGAGCTTTTTCAGGGACGTTTGTAGCTTTTTGTCGTCTGTGCCGGATGACTTGTGGACTTTCTTCACTTTCCTCCGGGGCGTACCCTTGCCTCTGCAGGCGGAGATGTAATGTTAGCTATGTCCAAGAAGAGAAAGCCGAGCTTATAGTCGGATGAACTTCCGTCCATCGGGCAGCCTGGAGACGCAGGAATAATGCTTACCCTAAAGCCCATGCTTGTCAGCGATGGTTCAATTTCAATGCAGGGTTGGGAAGCTATGGAAGCTGAGGGTGTAGAGCAGGGTTGGAAGTATCAATGCTCACCAATTCGCACAGACTGTTGCATCTTTGCCAGCTTAGCTTGATCCATATTTGTAGTTTTGGAGAAGTGCGGCTTGAAGAAAACGGTCTCCGCGTGCTGCTTGGTGGCCAAATTCTAGATGGCCAGAAGCTCGCTAAGAATCTTGGTAAACGTCGTAAATGTCTGAGAGATCAGTATCATGAAGTGGGTCAGGAAAGCTTGACTAATATTCTGCGCTTGTGAGATCGATGATTGGTCGAAGGTGAACACAAAAGTGTGATGCCAAGCCAAGACAACTCGGAAGCGAGGAGGTTGCGTCCAATTCAAAAAAAGGTGCATTCCTATAATGATCCTTCATCTCTTCTTTATACAAGCATGGATGTTATTACGACTACGACTACGACTATATACCATTGATATAGAACACTGGATCGGCTGGAATGATTTATATAGGAATATTCCCCCTGCTGTGCTCAAATTTTGAAGCTTTACCCCCCTACGAATGCCACCTTATCTGGCAGATTGACAGCTCGCCTGGTATTCGTCTACCTTACCACCACCTCAAGGCAACTGCTTTTACATACCTCAAATTTATTGATATCAAGTTATTCGTCGTGGGAGAGTAGAGAGGCAGCTCTTTGCACTGCCATGTGACGCAATGTTATCCACTTCATGAGAGTCCTAGGGGAACCAACTCAGTTGGCTCTCGCGGACGTGCTCGAAAACCATACTCAAGTCACTTCAGTCAAGCCTTTGTCACATAGGTCCCCTAAAGTCTGGCTGGCTTCTCTCCGTATGTACTTAATAAAATTACATCACACTCGTGGGAGCCGTGCCGTTCCTTTCTTGCTTATATCCCCGCCCAAAGTAGAAGAAACAGCTCTGTCCTTATGTGATTGATAGCATTCTTTGACGTCCCGTGTGTACTTTGTTCAGTACCATGGCCCCCAAGCCATATCGCGTTCACGTACACCAGCATGCCGGTTCTACAGCTCAAGAAATACAAGACAAACCGGAATGGAGCAATGCTCACCAACACCGCATAGGCTACTGCAACAGGCATGACCGGAGGCCTGGGCTTACCCATACGGGCGGTATGGAATCTTGCGCAACTACAAGCTCCCACTGTCCGCTAAACCAGCCACAGATGAGGAAGAGGAAGACTTCGAGGAGCAGGCCGAAGACGATCGACAGGAGCTCAGAAGGAAAGTCCAGAACGGTGACCTTGTATACTTCAAAGATATCGTAAAGCGGGAAGAGGTACATCTGTTTGCGTCCGATAAAGCCATACTCACAACACAAAAAGTCATCAACGAGGTCCGTGTAGGATTTCATCTTGGACGGCCACGAGATCATCCAACAGGATGGAGTTACGTAATGTAAGTGCGTTTGGAACTAGCTCCTTGCCCTTGATGGTTACCAAATTTGAACTTCACAAGCTATGTTTCAACCAATGTTTCGGAAGCAAAAGGCTCTTTCTGCTCTCCGTACTCGATGAGTGGAAGCATGACTCTAAAGTTGAGGCGAATGCAAAACATAACGACGCATACGCCACGGACGAGACAGACCAAGATGGCGAAAAGCCCCAGGCAAACGGCCATACGAAGGAATCGAACACGAAATATCAGAAGCTGCGCGGGAAGTACTCCCCTCAAGAAATAGCCTTACTATGCAGCTTGCAGCACGAATAGACCTGCAAAAGAAATATCCAACAGAACGATGGATGGGAATAACCTCCAGCAGCCAAAACCACCAGTCTTATAGAGAAATCGACGAAGCTGATCACTTTACCCCTCACGACTGGATTCCTCGAGCCTCTAATTTGATCAGGTCGACAAGGAAGCACCCTCTCAGCAAGCTTGCTCCAGTCCTAAAGCTCGTTATTTGGAAGGGAATTCCGAGCCATTTCGGTTCCGTGACTCCATTTGCCGAGTACAAAGAGTAATTGCTGACCGAAAGACATCATCAGTTGGGGAGCCAAGTCTCAAGTCACTGTACGATGCAGGATGAATCACAGCCAAAGAATTTCATCACGTCCGCAACCATGGGTACTACACCTGGGTCTGCATATCAAATCTAGTCACTGATGAACATTCGAATTGATAGGGTTGTCCCTCAACTCCTATGGGAGATCCATGCGCTCGATATTGAAGGAGGCAAACTCAAGCTATCTATGGACTTGGAGAATAACTTCGAACATATTAGCATTCCAGTGGTTCTTGCCTGCGATGGTAATTGACGAAAGGAATTCAACATGATCAAACATGTGAGCCGGGGATTGGAGACTAGGGGTGGATGAAACCGTCGACCGAGCTACTGTGCTAAACAGTCTGCAAATCCACCACAAAAGCAATTTACGAGGGAAGAGATGGAAAAAGCATATTAACGAGAAGGACTGCTGAATAGTTATTGATGAAAAAGTAGGTAGACTTTAAGTAACAAGAATTAAGTTGTTAATTAGGTACGTGTATGACGCGATGAGAGAACTGAACTGGCATCCGGACGTCCAAGCAGCAAAACTTGGCCACGCAGGGCGAGTGCACCAGGATGCTAGTGATGAGTTTGCCTCGATTCATCATGGTTATGCCTTCCAGAAGTTGAACGGTACGCGTCCAAATCCTCCTAAGTGCAACGGATATTACAGGGCCTGACAATCTCCAGAATGCATCCTGGGCACTGTTACCGAGAAGGCGGCCGCTTTCATGAAGAAAAACGCCGAAATCAAAGCCAAAGACCTTGCGCAATCTTCCAACGGGGATGATGGGTTGGCGCTTCAGAAACACAGCTGGGTTCCTGTCCACCTGAAAGATAGGAAACGGCCCAGTAAGACACAAGATGCTATACCTTCTCTGTTCCGCAGGACCAAAATGCACTGGGCTCGGGGGCTTGTCAGCATATCCAGCTGGTAATTCCACTCCAAAGATCACATGTGCGTCCGTGCTTATATCCCCACTAGATCCATGCTGGAGAGCGAAGAAGACCGGACACTTCAGCTCGTCGTGAAGACATACTTCCCCAACGACGACCAACCGGGTGGCGCCATGTCAAATGTCCTTGACTGCATACCTCTCAATGAAGAGATTGAGGCCCGTGGCCAAACAGGTGAGATCGAATATCGCGGGAACGGTCTACGCATCATCGAGGGCCAGAAAATGCGTTTCAGTCGGGTGCATTGGTCCTAGGCGGGTCAGGACTAAAGCCCGGGTACCAGTTGATTGCACGAATTCTTGGGACCGAGGGCGACAATCGACGATACCGAGATAGCCGTCATCGATGCGAATATGTCTGAAGCCGATATCCTCTTGAAGGACGAGTTGCACGATTTCAAGGAAAACCATGAAGGACAATTCACGATTGACCATGTGTTCAGTCATCCTAGTGAAGACAAGAACGGTACCAAAGAGCATGTCAACGCTGAGATTAATCCGGAAAACTTGATTCTCTCCAGACGGTAGTAGTGTGGCACTCCGTTGTGGGCCCCCAGCTATAATCCAGAAGGCTGCCCTGCCAGTACTGCGGGATTGTAGTTATGAGGAGAAGAATTTGTTTGGATTTTAGAGGAGGGCAGCAGTCTCGTTATGATTGCTCCAACATGTTAGGTTCATGGAGTAGGGACCTAGCAACCATCGGCAACCACGGGGTTGGACGAGGAGCTGAGCCTGGTCTTATCTCCTGCTAGCAATTGATGAGATGCGTTCGGTGAGTTAGATAGTTTAGCTTGCAATAACAGAAATAGGGTTTCATCTGGCCTTGTTGCAGCTTTGTTATCTGCATACCCAGAGCCTATGGACGTCAAATTTAGGGGCGATAGGGCCGCTCGGGTGCCTATCCGCTTGGTGCTTGCTATTACTGTGTCTGTGTCTGCCCTGGAACGTACACCTCCCGCTATCAACCATTCGCTGGAGCACGAGATCTTATCTTTTCCCATGGCGTGCTCCAAATCTTCTTTTATAAAAAGGCAGACATGCCCCCTTGTTCCTTTCATACTTCTTTTTCGTTGGGCTTGCGCAGCTATTCCAGAATTTGTTAATCGAATGCCAATGCAGTTTACCGTCTGACACCTGATTATTGCCTGATCTGGGTTCCCACTTCACACTGGGGCATCAACATACTCCCGTTCTGGCCTCTCGGAAGCTGTGTATCCTCCAAATCGAAATGCACCGACTGGCGCAAGCATAGGGAGTGCAGGGACAGCTAGGGCCATCGTCAAGCAATGGTCCTTTGCTTCGGCCCAGACCCTGTTGCCAGGGTCTTTGGTCCCTAAGGATTCCTTGAATTAATAGTCTACGTCCTTCTCAGGCGACACGGGTCGCGTCACATCTGGGCAGTGATTGGCTGGAAGTCAGCTACAATCATCAAAGCTCGAATGCGACAGTGATACAGCCACTTTGCAGTCGTCAACGCCCCTGAGCAGGGACAGTTCCTGAGTTGTCCTCACCTTGACCGGCTGTTGGCTCAATTGTGAAAAAGCACCGGATCGACGTTACTGTTAGGGACGGACTGGACTGGACTGGACTGGACTGGACGGGAAGGCTCACTCGCACTCACTATTCTTGTTATTCCCTGGGACAATACAATCTCGGCTTGTTTCATTTTGGTTTTCTTCGATCCTAGGTTTCTGGTCCTACGAGTAAACGTTGGCGAACGCCAACATTGGCTGAAAAATGCCACCAGGCTAGAATGGCCCTACCGATGCTTAGCGGCGTGGGGGTTTGCACTTGACATTTCTAATTTCGCAATAACAACCCTGACTCTGCAACAGAATCAGAGCGACGGCAGCGCATCGACTCTCTCGAAGCGAAGGCAAGGGCTTGACTTGGTGAACAACAGAGAACCCATTGGACAGATTCAAGTGGCCGTGGCTGACAGCCGCTGTCATTCGGTCTTTCTTCCCTTTCTTTTTTTCTTCCTTCGCTCCCACGCCAATAGGTATTCGGGCCGGCAAAAGAGTGCATAAGCCCTCGCTTGGGTTTCCGCAGACCGAAGGAACGGTTCGAGATCGTCCAATGAGGACGTGCTGATTCCATGCATAAGATCGTTTGCGTATGAGTACCTATGGACAACATCAGCATCACATATGAGATGACCCGCCATCCTCAATCACCCATGAGACGTGTGTGCGAGGCCTCAGCGGCGTTGAGGCACCGGGGACCTCTACACGATTGAATGGCCATTTGTGACTCTTGACCATGGCGTGCTGCCGTAGCTCTCTGTGATGTTGACTCTAGATAATTGTGTCTGAGACTCGGAAGGTTGAAAGCGGCGCAAAGCGGGATAGTGTCAGTATTTTCGCCACACAGTCTTCAACTTCAGCACCGAGTGTGACATCAGAGTACGCGAGCCGTTTGGCTGCGAAACTCAGGCGAGGTCGATGTTGAGTTTGTTCCTCTCAGTCTGTTGTTACCTTGTACGTCTACTGCATTTTGAAGAAGCACAGCTGTAATTTGGAATCACTTCGCTGAATTCCCCAAGCTACAGCAGACCCGTTGATTTTTGACTTTTCATTTGATTGTTTTTCGGGCATTCTCCGTGTCCGCTCGTGATACCTACTTGTCTTCACCAAATTCCTACCTACCTAGACACTGTTGGGGGAAATCACATGTTGAAGTGTGCGAAATTATCGTCGAGGTAAAAGTCAAACTCGGCGCGGTTTGACGGCTGGTCTTCGCGCACACAGCAACACAGCAACACAGCAACACATCTAACCCAAATTTCCCCCGCGCAAATCTGCTCCTCCAGGAGGTGTCAAGTTTGGTAAGAGGCTTACTCCCTCCAAAGTCTCCAAGCTTTGATATTGCAATCCTGCGACATAGGATTTCAGGGTTCTGATGAGACGCATTACCCTAACCCCCCACATTAAAATGTACCTTCCGAGCCTACCACCCCAAGGCTTGCATAAAGCACTAGGTACACTACACTAGTAGAACGGGGGGGAGGAAAGATTACCTACCTACATTACTTGACTCTGCCCGCAAAATGCTGGGAAGAAAAAAGAGTCGAGGCCGCTAGGGCCAACTAGCTACGCATTCACGCATTTCGTGCTCTAGCTCTAAATTACCCCGAACCAATTTAGTAGCCCCGCTGAAATCCAACCCTGAGCCCGCGTCTGGCCAACCATCATGACCCATTTCTACCCAGTTCTTGCAGAGACCCTAAAGACCCTAAAAGACCTTACCCCAAAACACACATCATCGCTCTCCTCCTCGATGCATCGTATGCAGGTGGAGAAACGTCAGTCTCTCTTGCACTTTCATTCACACCATCATTGACCCAGAAAACTCCCTCTATCTTTATGCCTCGGACTACCCAGGCCAGCGATGCGTCGAAGCAATACTTGATGAACCGGTCGGGAGACTTGGCTCGTGGGGGACCCGCACATGCAGCCACCCACTCCACCGAGGACATCGACATCGACGATGTTACAAACTTCCCCACAAATGCCCTCTCGTCCTCCGCCCTCTCGACCCCGCAGTCATCCCGAGTATCCAGACCGGCGCAAGCACAATCATCGCACATCCGACATACACCAGTCCCCCCTCCCTACCGTCACGTTCGAGACAAACTGGACATCTCCCCTGAAAACAAGCAGACTCGCAAAGACCTTCTCCGTGAGAGCTTCTTTTCGGATTGGAAGGACGACGCCTCCAGCGCTGATCTGGGCGACCCCGATGAAATGCAGAAAAAGGACCCGCTCGGAACGCAAATATGGAAGCTGTATAGCAAGACCAAGTCCCAATTGCCGAATCAAGAGCGAATGGAGAATCTGACCTGGAGAATGATGGCCATGAACTTGAAGCGCAAAGAACGAGAGCAGGCACGGTACGTGCGAAACCACACGAGCGCACCTTTGCGCAGAAGTTCGTGACTTACAAGCGCATTCGCAGAGCAAGCCAACAACCCACCAGCGCCCCTTCGGGAATTGCAAAGCTTCGAGAGTCTGTAGACCTTTCAGACACTCCGGATCCGGATGCCATGAACATCGACGACTTCATATTTCCTACGTCAATCGCATCTCCTGCTGGCATATCTCCTTCCTCCCCCCCACCCCCCTCAAACACCAATGCTTCAGCGATACCGATCAAGACGAGGAAGGACGTACAGCATCAAGTACATCCAGAACTCCCTCCATCAGCACCTACTCAAGACCGAATAAGAGATCGTGAGTTCGATTACGTACAACGGCGGGTGAGGAAGACGAGCATCGATGAGACAAAGGTGCGCCCTCTGAACTGTGGCGAATCACCCTCGGGCTCAAAGGTGCTGACTATGTGGAATACAGTCTCGAAAGCGGCCTGCCGAGTTTTCTCCCCAAGTGAATCCCACCAATGGTATTATGATACCCAACGACCCAGACGGGGATGCCGGACTGGGTGATTACTCTCTAGAACATACAGCACCACAGCCCTTTCCTATGCATGCCAACACCTACCCTCACGTTCCATTCAACCTCGACACTTTCAATATTAATGACGACCCTATACTCCATTCCGCCGGCCCATTCCAACAGAATTTCACATTCTCGCCAGCTGCATCTCCAATCAATAACCATGGTCCGTTCTCAACATACAAGAGTACCCCAATAGGTTCCTCTATCAACTCTGCAGAGTATTACTCGCCGCCCGGGTCCGCCCATCCCTCAGCAACATCTACCCCGCAACCGCTGTATGACAACGAGCATCTGTATTTCGGTCGTCAAAACGCCGATGCGCGGCATCAACGACCCATGCAGAACTACTCTAGTAGTCGGCCTTCCAACCTGTCTACCTCAATGCAGCCTCAATACCTATACAATCCCACCAACGAGGCTATGTTCAACGGCGTCACAAGTGGTGCTCCTGCATCAGCTGCGAACTTTACCGCTCCTGCTTTCTCCATGCAGCATGTCAACCCTTCTCAAGTCCTTCACCCCGAGTATTCCAACTCGCAACCGCATGGTATGAATATGCCACGTAACGAGAACATGTTCTCTTTTGGTGAAGATTCGGACAACGAAGACGACGAAGGAGGCAATTTCCCCGAAGGGTCTATGATGATGCAGACAGATTTCTCGACCATGGATGATCCTTCTCTTGATCTTCGTAGCAATGGACTTCCATGGGATGCCAACTTAGGTGGGCAGCTCAACACAATGGCGGCGAGGTATCCAGGCGGCCCTCCCAAAAAGCAGGTGACAATAGGGGGCACAGAGACGGTGACATCACCACAAGACTGGGCGCAAGGTGGTCATATTAGTCGGGCACATGGATCTTCCACCTCGGTCAGTGACATTCGCAACCGAAGCAACGATCCCAGAAGACAGAAGATCCCGCGGACGACCTCGACCCCTAACGCTGTCCATCTCGCTCAGCAGGCGGCTATGCACACTCGACCTCAGTCTTCGCCCAGTTCTCCCCCAGAGTCTGGTTTCAGCAGCGTAGCTCCGTCCCGTCCAAGCAGTCCAGGTGGATCCAAAGCTGGAGAAAACAACGGGGTACCTACGACCTGCACCAACTGTTTTACCCAAACCACTCCCTTGTGGCGCCGGAATCCTGAAGGTCATCCCCTATGCAATGCTTGTGGTCTGTTCCTTAAACTTCACGGCGTAGTTCGCCCTCTTTCCCTGAAGACAGATGTCATCAAGAAGCGAAATCGTGGTAGCGGCAATCAGCTTCCAATTGGCAACTCATCCACTCGTTCGTCCAAGAAAGCATCTCGCAAGAACTCGATCCACCAAACTCCTGCGACGACGCCTACTTCTGGCAAGGTGCAAGGCCAGACTGACTCGGCCTCTCCACCTTCAGCCTATGGATCTACAAATTCAGGATCAACTGCCGGCAGCACCCCAACGAGCTATGGGCCTGGACCATCCGCAGGCATGGGTAGCCTTCCTCCTATTGCTGCCGCTCCACCGAAGCCCGCACCCCCGACTGCAACAATTGCTGCCGGCAGACCGAGCTCGACTGTTGTGCCAAAACGCCAGAGGAGGCATTCCAAGCAAGGGGTCGGCAGAGGCGGTGGTGGCCAAGAGGCTGAGATGGCTGATGCGGACGATACCAGTGGGAAGGCGACAGCTGCTTCATCAAAGAAGAAAGATAATGGGCCCCATCAAATGGCTGCTGCGGGTATGGCCGGGATTCCTGGCACAGGGATGATGGGTACAGGCGGACAGCCGGGCATCATGACCGGCGGCCCATCTGCCGGGACTCAGGAGTGGGAGTGGTTGACGATGAGCCTATGAGGCCCTAGCCCAGAAACCTCTCAGTCGCCTGCTCCGGACACTGCACGAGTGATCCTTTGGCCTGCGTTTTCGAAACCTTGGTGCTATCTCGCAATTCAAGATCATCAACTCAACCATCAGACATGCTCGGCAACGACTCGATACAAATCCATCAAAGTTCACGTATATACCTTTTACAAGCGAATGCGCTTTATCCGGACATACACATGGTCCGTCCCTACACAACACATACTACCCTCGCTCGGGTGACTACACCGACTTGAGCGGGACTACCTGGCTGGAGGGGCTTCTATGGTGATATATCGCTGCTCTGTTCCTTTTCGTCCTTTGGACGCAATTTCGTTACTGCTTGCTTGCTTTCTTGTTTACTTACGATATTTGCTTTGAATTGATATCACCGCGTCTGACGAACCTTGGCAGAGGTGTCAGAAGTGCGCTTGGGATTTGGGTCTCACTGGATTTGGATTTGATTCACTTCGGTCCTAGATGGGCTGGAGCATAGTAGGGGGTTTATCGGCCCGGGGGATGGAAGGCAACGACGATCTGATCGTGATGATGGGATGGATGGGTTCAGGCTGTAATTAGACAAAGGCATGCGATCGATGGAGGCGTTTTGGGGTTTAGGCGAGGCAAGACGAAACAGTCCTCAGATTCCCAGGCGTTTCGCATATATTCATGACGATAAGACTCTCCTAGAGCGAGTAGGGAAGTTTAGACACCGGCTGACGCACTGGATTCTCCTGAATTCTCTGAAGTCTGAGGACATACATTTCTTGTTTTTGTCTCGTGCTTCAGCCTCTCACCAGACTTACTACCGCAGCTTTGGTTGGGCCACAGCAGCTGGGGTACTGCTGTCCTTCGCCTCTCTCCAAGCATTCCTTTGGAACCCAGCAGTCCTCAGGCGCACTCATGTTCGCTCGGGATCCATCCTCACTCGCCTTGCCCTCGACATTGCTCTAATCGCATTCGGTAATACCAGGCTTGTGTGCTTCCTACCTCACTTCTGCTTGGCCTTTTCCTTCTCTCCAGCACCAGCACCAGCACCAGCAGCATTTGCTGCTTCCTCGCCTAAGATCTTTGACGCGGCCATGAATCTGAACGTAGAGACAAAGTGTTAGCCAGGTGCTCAACCAGCGTCCATGGAAATGCGAAGACAGTGTCACATAGCCACGCCTTTATATTCCCTCCCTCACGCGTTCCACTGACTGCACCCTCTTCGACTCCTACCGTCTCCCATAGACACAAGCAACGGACGGAAAACGGCTCACTCACCCACCACCCCACCATCCCCCCAAGCCCCGCACATACTCCGCCTGCACAGCTGTCATACCGACCAGATTCTCCATATCAGCTAGATGCGCATTCAATTGCGCCAATTGCGCGTGTAGATGGCTGTACTGTCGGTTGCGGTTGATTGTTGAAGCGGAGGCGGAAGTGGAAGGATGGGAAAGAGACGACGTGGAGGGCCGGTGGGATGAGGCGGACATTGTGAAGGGCTACTGGGTAGTTGACAACTGGGGATGGGGAGCTTGGTAGGAAATGATCGTTTGTGTATAGCCAAGAACGACAGTGCTTACCACCTGAGGCTGACTTAGCGCTAATGGATACCGTGGGTTGAGCTTTAGGACGCGCCTAAGGGTCACGTGAGGGCATACACATCTTGATCCACTAGGCTCGTGGCTCAAGGCTCAAGGAGTGAAGCCCCAACCAAGCGTGTGGATTTGGTGGATCGAACAAGCGCCAAAGGCCGAGGCTTACGAGGTACATTTACAGTCGTAAGGGAATCAAGTGATCGAAGGGCAAAGAAATTCTTTCTCCTCTGCTCTTCCAAGCCAGTTTTGCTAATGCACGAGGAGCAGCAACAGCTGCCAGAAGATCACTCTATGCCCACTTTTCCGCCCTTCATGCTGGCTTCCAGATGCAAACCCAGAATTGCTGCTTGGTGTCATGGGAGAGCAGCACAAAAAGAAAACAAGAAAACGCTCCAACGCTGACTCCAATGCAGTATTATGTTAGGTAGTCTCACAATATTAAGGAGGTCACATTCGCGTGCATATATACGACCGAATGAAAGTGGACCATGCAGATGATGATCGATCCGAGCAGGACCTCTCTCAGCCTTCTCTCGCCGATTAATTTATTTCTGTCTTGCTTAATGCTTGGTCGTCTATTGTTGGTGAATCAAAAGGATGTAAGGCCGTGGACTGTATGCAATGCTATTGGGTGTAGGCGTTTTCGAAACCGAGGTGAAGTGGAAGGCTTCAGAGGTGAGGGCGAATCACGAGAAAAGGACGCTCCTGGGAAGACGGATGGACTTTTGCGGTACCGAGATGACGTCTTCGGTGTGGGATGGGCAACTACCCTCTCATTGGACCCCTACGGGGTGTCCTTGAAGACGGGCAGCCTGTCGAGGTGCGAGGCTACTCTGACTGCTGTGAGCCGAGGGATCGGATTCGATGTGCGCACTGGCACCACTATCGCCACTCCCCGCGCTGGCGCTCGCACTACCGGTCAGACTACGTACGTTTTTTTGAATAGGGCCTTTGTGTGGGTATTGGTTGCTCACCCCAGCGCGTTGCTCGACTTGTTGCGGTGCCACAGCATTCCCTTGCCCGGGAGGATATCTAGGCACAGGTTGACGCATCATGCCAGGAGGCGAAGGCCCCCCATTAGGATGCATCGAACCTGGTGCCATATATCCATCTTCTGGCGGGGACCGTCTTCCCATATTCCTCCCATTCAACGCATTTCCAGGAGAATGGCTTGTCCGCCGAGGCATTCCTGGGCTCGGGCTTGGATAAGCGCCATTCATGCCAGCATTATTGCCTGCCCCTTGTAACTCGTTCAAACGAGCAGCTGTTAGAGAGTTTGTCCTCGATTCCTCCCCCATTGTTTTCCGGTCGACGTTGGCATATCGATTTGAAGAGTAGCCCATCAATGGATTGTCTAAAGGATTGTCGTGCATCGTTGGCATGCTCGCCATCAGCTGCGCCGAAGCGCGATTTCTATTCATCCCTGGCCTAGGTCCGAAGCTGTGACTTTGGCGCATGCCAGCATTTCGTCCCATGGACCCTTCAGGGTTTTGGCGGATTTGACTAAGACTCGGCGCCTTCCGCGTCCTGCGAGAAGTGACACTCATCATGTCCACATTATCAGGATCAATATTGGGCGGCGGCGCACGCATCGCCATCGGGTCGAAGAAATCGTCATCGTCATCATCATCGTCATCGAAGCCGCCTCTATGAGAAGGTGGTGGCCTCCTGGATCCTTTACGTATGCTGTATTCTTGCTCCCTCAGTTGCAACTCTCTTTGCCGTAGGTTGAGCTCTCGCTCCCGTATTGCCAGTTCCGAAGAACTTGATGTGCCATTGCTCATATCACCGACATAACCAGGAGCCACGCCTCCTTCCGGTATATCGTCATATAGAACTAAATGACTGAATTCTCCCAAGTCATCGCCTTCGAAAGATGGTCGCCGAGACAACTGATTGGGTGGCGGTCCTCGAGGGTTGTAGCCGTTGGACTGACGTGACGGGTATCCATTCATCATGGGCGGTCCCGGTCCTCGCCTCATCGCAGGTCCCATTGAAGGTGTTCTTCCTCCACGCATGCCGTTGCCATTCGTAGGACCACTCATGGGACCACTCATGTTGCCGTTCATCGGCGGTCGAGGAGGAGCAGAGGATAGTCGAGGAGGCGGAGCAGCACCGGGGGGTGGATTTGCTGACGGCGGCGGGACAGCGGGCCGTTGCTGATTGACGATGTTACAGTGGTGTAGTAGCGCATATAAAGTCTCAATGCGTGGTACTCGGACGCCCGTCTCTTGAGCAAGCTTGATAGGGGATCCAAGATAGGTCTCCACTTCCATAGGCCTCTTCGCCATGAAGTCTTGATACATGATGCTGTTGGTGTCTGAGGGCTCTGACATTCTCCGCATTGTGATCTCCCGGAAGTCGGCGTCGAACTGACAGCCCTGAGATGTTGCGATCTGCAGAAGCTCATCTATCACATCTGCTACCATTGGCCGAACGCCAACCTTTTCTAGCAGCTCTGCATGGGAGGGGACTTCGAAAAGAACACTGGGCGGGTGGAACGCAATTGGCCTGGAGCGTGTTAGTTAGAATCGATGTGAATCTGTCTTCATAGACCCACCCTATCATACGCTCGTACTGCTGTTGTCTGATGTTTTGAGAGACCTTGCAGTCGACCTGGCCGGTGCTCAAAGTCATAGCTAAAGCTTCAGCCATATCGTTTTGAATGGCGGCTGGTATGGCGTCGTTCTTATTCGCCGGGCCAACCCATACATCCGTGGCCCCAATATGCTCAAACTCGCTTGCTCCAAGCTGTGTGATTTCAGCTCCTGATACCAATGACAGCACCACGTTCGTGGGAAATCTCTGTTCCAGATGGGACTCGACTCCTAGGGTGTTCGTAGTATTGACGAGGATGCAGGTGTGCTGAGGAGTAACGACAGACTCGATGACCGCAGCGAGATCGTAGACATCGGGTAGCGCTTTGACACAAAGGAGAACATAATCGAAGGCTGCTTTCTTGCCCGCTGCATCTTCCGGACTTCTGACGACTTTGACCGGTCAGCTTGACAGGGAGATAACAGGATTGGTGAGTTATGACCTACCATGGCGTGGTTTGAATCTTTCATTGCCAAAGAGCTTAGATCTGTAAGAAATCCGATTTAGGCTTGACCATTCATCGTGTATAGGACGAGAGCTCTGCTTACTTGAAGGATATTCCGTATTGGGCGACGGCTTCGTATCCAGATTTCCAGACCAACGTCACATCGCAAGCATTGGTAGCTTGGAGCCTCCATGAGAGGAACGCCGAGATCTGGTTTCCCCCTACGGACAGGATTCGGAGTCGAGGAGGACTTGGTGCCATTGTGGACCCGAGTATGAGCGAGAAAGAGCAGTGATGGATTCGTTGAAGTTATTCAAACGAGCTCGATTCCAAGTGTGGCCTTTACCCAACTTGTCCCAACTCTTACGTCTGAGCGGCCAACATTTAAGCTGAGATTGCGCCCGAAACACAGCGGCTGAGATGGCGGTTTCGAGTAAAGTCACGGGCTAAGTAACGAGCGTGATGCTTCTATGATGTGTCGAATGGACGTGGACTGAATATGATGGCAAAGAGTGGATGTTGACTGGGCCGGACTGCGAGGTAAAACAGTGGAAATCGAAATTTAGTAGCAACGGTCTGGTTTTTCGCACCAAGCGAAAATTTAAAGTTGAGTGTTAGTAAGATGTTGGCCTTACAACGGGTTTACAAAGAAAAAGCGAGTGGATTGCGAGTGAAGAGTTGTCGCCGTGGTTGAATCAGAGAATGGAAAATTTAAATGTAAAATATCAATGTAAACGTCTGGTAGCTAACTACTAGGAATTAAAGCGAGCTGGCACCACCAGTATTATTATCGACGCGCGGGCTCGTTATCAAGAGGAAGTCGGCGGATGCTAGCTTTTAGTACATCCGGTGGGAAAAATAATCGCAACACCCTCCACGGTTCCACCCTCCACCCTCCACCTCATAAGCTGCTCGGCTAGCTCTGATAAATTAAGGTGCATAGAACGATCAGGTAGTCATTCAAATACTCAAATACTACGGGGCCACGGGCAAAGAAAAGCCTTTTGCTCAGGGTCAGAGGCTCAGAGCTTGGGCTTCAGTATTCTTTATGCTTCTTATTATCATCCAATGATACCTTATGCCAATCTTGCTCTGGCAACTCCGATTGGCAGAGTGTTTCACAAAAGGGTGTGATGCGTGGATGGGTAGAAAAGTATGCCTGCACCACTGTGACTGCACACAGAATTTGATATGATTCAGGGGGATGCATGCCTTAGCATAAATCTAAGAGTGGGCCAAATCCCAACGTGCAGGCCGGCAAAACCCCACCCCCGAGGACCCGGACTAGGTCAGCATCATAGAATAGCCCGCTGAGTCTTCCTGACAAGAGTCAGAATCAGGTACCAGAAAATGTTCGCCGTGGATCACGCAAAAAGCTTGAGAAAGAGGCCATGGTATGTTGATTCTAGCGCAGCCTTTCGCGATGGGCTAGTTAGTTAAAAGCTGGAGGAATACCCGCGTGGCTTGTATCCTTCTCCACACCCTGTCTCTCCTTCTCTCCATCATGGCTTTTTTTGGGGCATGTCTTGCATACCCCAAATCACCTTTCAAACCACCCCTAATTTGTTGGAAATGACCCTTCCCCCATCTTCCTTCGGCAGTTGCGATCATCAGGAGAGCGCGATTAAGATGCTTTCGCCTATTACGCAGAAGGCAGGGTTCGAATTTTCGTGATGATCCTGCCAGGCCGAGCAGGCCCGCGTTGCTATTCATAGACTGCTCGGCCGAGGAAACTGATGCCGGGTCGGTCTTTCTACACATTCAATCAATTGCGTGGACTGCAATTCTTCAGAAGATCTGTAAACCGGCTGACAGCATCAAAAGCTCGCATGATGGGCCACTCACTAACCCGTTCTAATCACGGTATGCTAGGTTCAAGACTCTGTGTTCTCCTGACATAGCCGAGAGGGCTGAGGCTGCCACCTTGGAGATTGCCAGCCGTCGACCTGTACGAATAGCTTCATTCCCATATCATTCTTCTCTGATCGAGGCGCAGCTATGTTTCAGGCTTAGTTAACTGTCAGCCCGTCACTCCGAGCCCCTCCATAACAGGCAATACCTGACTTCAATCCCTGTTCGGCCAAGAATAGGGCACGCTCATGCCAATTTGTACCCAAGTGCCATTGCCGTGACCTGAGTGCTCGAGCTCTGTCGGATCCGAAAAGTCCCAGACAAAAATCCTGGGCGTTCTCTAGATGCATGAGGGCACAGAGCGTGTCACTACTCACACTTAGGGCCATGCCCTGTTGCCAACCAAAGCATCAGGGATCTGAACCCACGTCTTTGAAGAGGGGGCACTGAACAAGACAAGCCAGCTGCGGCTATGATCCGGGTATGGGGTCAGGACTAACGCCAATTGTGGGTGAGTAGCGAGCCTTGCTGAAAGTAGTGCTCCACTAAACATTTCTTGCACTGCTGATACTTTTTAGGCTTGGATTCTAGCGATTTTTTCACTCAAGCTTCAATTCAATGGCTCGTGAGCTACTCTATCTTGACTGATAAATCCCATCTGTGCACTTTCCAGCAGGTCGCGACCTCAGTTGGATGGCAATCGATGACCTTGGGACCCAAAGCTTTGGAATCTCTCATGCATTGCCTCCCGAAGAGCACGACATTGCGGCTTTTCAATGTCTCGGCTCTTCCCATCCAACTCTTTGCTTAACGAACACTTGCATGAAAAAGCAATGACTTGCAAGCGCGCCAGAAGCGCCGAGAAAGGGACAAACGCCTTTTTTCGGAGATATCAGGTTCTTGTGACATCCAAACGCTCAATGACAGATATCTCCAGTCATGCTCACCGTCGTTGGAAGAGACTCCATAAACCCTTTGCAGTAACCCACGATCACCGTTTGCGTCATCCCCTCTTAGATCAACCTCACAGCCTTCGTAAACTCTTCCCACCCCTAACCAAGAATGGGCTCGGCATCTCGTCTCTCTCCGGATCCCAGACCGGCACATCCCCACCACTCCTCAGGTTCTCTTTCTTGGTCTCCTCCACAATTCCCTCCACAATTCCCTTCTCTACTTTCTGCGCTTGACTGAGTCCTCCAGCTCTCGCTTGCGCCAGCTCGACCAACGTCCTCCCCCCGCCGTTCTGACCAAACAGATTTCGCTGCATGACGGCTTTAAATATTTCGTTCTCCGTGCTACTAGTAGGTGGTTTGGGCGGCGCTTTGCGGACAGGCGAGAATCCTGAGTGCTTCGGGCTTGGTGGCGACGGAACTCGGGATGGTCGGTCAGACGCTGCCGGCGGAAAGAGCGTAGGTTGGGGGTATCCACTGAGGCGGTTCATTGGCGCGGTTTTCTGGCGGAGGAGGCCCGGCCGGCTGGGGGCCTTGAAGGGGTCAGGAAGACCTGACGGTGCCCGGGTGGGTGATGGTAGGTCAGGAAGGGTGTCTTCTTCCTCTTCGACTATGATCGAGGCACGTGGCGAAGACGATTGAGGTGCGAGTCGGTGCTTCTGGACGGCGGCTGCAGCAAAGAGGTTCTTGTTGTTGGGTATTCCAGACGCGTTTGCAGCGGCTGCGCGGCGAGGTGAGAGGGAGAGGCAGGCGATCGACATTGGTGAAGGGTCAATCATCTGTACATCCATCGGTGAGTCAAATTCAGTGCGAGCCCGAGATAATGCGGTTCGCGTTCGCTTCTTGGGTGGTGTTTTGGATTGTATGACTGGAGGCGAGTCGATGGAGAGGCTGCTCAAGTCCGTCGACGACAGAAAATCGGAATCCGCGTTTGTGCTGACGGACGAAAACTGGACGTCCGGCGGAGTAGGTGGTCCTCCTTCTTTCGCAATTGGCCGTAATTCAAGCCGTAATTGCACTTCGGCTTCGACTCTCGACCGGACCTCGGTCTCAAACATTTTATGGAGCTTTTCCTTCTCCATCTGGACTTGTCGATTAATCTCGAGTCTGGCCTTCACCTCCCATTCCCGACGTATTGTCGATTCCAACGCAGCTCTCATTTTCTCCTTCTCCCCGTTCCAGTTCGAAGCCTTAGCCTCGGCTTCTTGAGCTTTTCGCATGGCCTGTTCTTCTTTTACCCTCAATAACTTTCCTAATTCAACCACTTCCCTCTCCTTTCTCATTAGCCGCACAGCAGGAAGATTCAGCAGGCTCGCAGTGTCAGGTCGCTTTAGCGGATTGATATTCAAGCAGCTCTTGATGACGTTTTGTAACTCCTGAGAGTATACACTTGGCAGTGGATCTACTCGACCTTCTTTGATCTTCTGTATCAAATGAAAATGCGTCTTGGCGTTGAAAGGTTGAGTCCGCGCGCACAGCTCGTACATCACGCATCCAAGAGACCAAATATCCGAGTGGAGGGTATATCTTTCTGCAGCACATATCTCGGGCGACATGTAGAACGGTGTTCCGACGTATGTCGACGCGAAGTCGTGGGATTGCATCAGCTTTGACAATCCGAAGTCTCCAAGCTTGACCGAGTTGTCCGCGCCGAGGAATACTGCGGCAATCAGTGTTGGACTGCACACGGAATATAGATATGACAGCTGCGACTTACTGTTCTCCGGTTTCAGGTCTCGGTGCAAGATCATGACTTGATTTTTGCCTTTCAAGCCCAATGGCTTCAGAGCACCGCATGGCCCCATGGCGTTCCTGCCAACCTCCGGAGCATCGACTCCATAATGGCACCGGTATAGAGCGGCGACGAGCTGTGAAAAAATGCTCCAAACATATTCCTCATCTGCATACTGGTCTTTTCCCCGGAGTTTGAGAATCTCCTTGCTGAGATCACCTCCTCCACAGTACTCCATGTACAGATAGAGTTCCTGTGTCGGCTTCAGGTGTTCTCGGTGGTAGTATCCGACAATATTCGGGTGTTTGAGGGAGTTAAGGATAGAGAACTCGGCGTGGAGCTGTTCTCGCTCCTTCTGAGACATTTTGATGTATTGAATCTCTTTCCGACACAGGATCTGGCAAGGATCTTTCTTAATAGCCGCGAAGTCTTCAAGTTTTCTGAGTTCACAACTTACATGGCCGTCCGATATTCTTCTGACCTTCCTGATTGTACCAAAAGACCCTCGACCTATGAGAACGATCAGCTCCGCAATCCCTGATCTATCGGGGAAATGTGAAATGTTTACCTATTGTCTCCAGTACCTCATATTTCTCTGGCTCTATCGAGGTCGCCATGCTGGCGATGGCGAGTGAGCCTGATGCTTCGAATGTGACGGAATTGATTGTTGTAGACTAGTAGGATGTCAAAGCCATGGTATTGGCAGTAGAGTCCTTGAGTTGTTATCACGACTTCATTGGGTGTCGAAATGTGAATTCATGGTACCTTGCAGATCCCCATGTTTACTTCGTCTGTCGGAAGGGGCAACACCCGCGTCACGAGGTGGTGGGTGATAAGATTAGAGGCCTTGGCACTTTGACGCCACACTTGCGGTCGATTCGAGATTTCTGCTTCTATCATTGATTCGCTGCTGGACAGCTAGAGATCATTGCGGTGCCCGAATCGCCATGGTACTCAGAAAAGACCAGATTGAAGCTAGTCTTCAGGAAGAGAAGAAGCTGATTGAGGATGGCAAACTCAAGGAAGACAACCCTCTCGACGTCAGCGAAACATTTTTCAGACTATGTGAAGCTTGTCGTTGCGGAGACCTGAAGACTTGCCAGGAGACGATCACAGAAGGCGTCAATATCAACGCGAGAGATCGTTTCGATTACACGCCTTTGATCTTGGTATGAGTGTACCATGATGTCCCCCACACTTCCTCATCATTGCTTGCTAACGCCTCAAGGCAAGGCTAGTCTGTGTGGTCATTTCGAAGTGGTACAGCTGCTACTTGAATCCGGTGCTCTTTGCGAACGAGATACGTTCCAAGGAGAGCGATGTCTTTATAATGCCCTTAATGACCGAATACGAAACCTATTGCTCTCATACGACTATTCGAAATCTACGGATCCACTGCAACCTCTGGCCTCGCACATAACCTCTCTTTTGACTAGAGAGCACCCCCAAACATCCGATATCCTCGTTGCCGCTGCTGAGGAGTCGTTCCGTCTGCACAAATTCATTTTATCTGCGAGGTCTCCATACTTCGCAAAGAAATTATCTGTCGCACCTGACACAGCGTCATGGAAACTTCCTTCGGCGATCCCCCCACAAGCTTTTGGAATAGCCATCAAGTACATATATCTGGGCGAAATATCCAACGATGTTGGTGGTGGGCCTGGCACGGGGTTCTCCGAAGACGAAGTATTGGAAGGGATCGACAAGATAAGCAGGCAATTGGAGATCATAAGTCTCTGGGATGGCATTCTCGAAAGCGGGGACCGCAGACTTGCGAGACAGCGGAGAACAGATGAGGTTGATAAGGGCCGGAATCAGCTGGAGGCTTGGTTCTCAAACAACGTGCTGAAGCACAAGATCATTCTCGACACGGCTAGGGCGGACAATGTCAAATGGGATTGCAACAACGGGGTTTTTGCAGATGTGCTGCTGAGGGCCGATGAGTCCGACGATGCTTTTGAAATCGAATCTCCTTTAGAGGAAGATTCCTTGCAAAGGAAACCAGAAACGAAAAATGGCATCCCCATCGGACCCCTAAGACAGGCATCACGTTCTCCATCTCGAGATGGAAAGCCTCGGAAATCTATACTGTTCCCTGTACACCGGGCTATGCTCTTGCGGTCAGAGTACTTTCTTACAATGTTCTCTTCGGCCTTTCGGGAAGCACAAGCCACGGAGTATCTACATATAATCTCCATGGATTGCTCACCGGAAGTCTTGGAGGTCGTCCTGCAATTCCTCTACACGGAGAAGACCGATTTCCCTCTAGAAATTGCTATCGATGTTCTATTTGCTGCCGATCACCTCTTAATTGAAAAGCTGAAAATGAAGGCTGCAGTGGTAATTAGCACTCTTGGAAACGGTTCAATGTCACAAATCCCTACGAGATTGGACGCTGCTGAGACTTCATCCCCCGCGCCAGAAGAACTGGACATCTACGACGTGGTCCGCGCAGGTTGGCTCACACGTGTACCAAGACTTGAAGAATTCGGCGCCAGGTATCTTGCCTATAGACTGGAATCTTACATTGATGAGGAGGATTTCGCAGATCTTGTTCGAGAGAGCGCGAACAGGATCAAAGGAAGACAAGAGACGGATACCATTGAGCTGTTGGATGAGTCAGTTCTCCCTTTCACGCTTCCACTGTACCTATCGCTTACGATCTGCTTCAGCATCCGATATTATCTATCAGAGCGCTTCCGTCTGCGCTTCGAAGATTCTGGTCTAGAAGACATGATGGAAGAGGAGCCTACAATTGCCACCGAGGCTGAGACCGACATAGATGGAAAGCTGCCGGAGGATGAAGGCGTCGATATGGGCTCATTGCCCAATGGTGACGCTGCACGAGGCGATGTGAACTCTTCATCGGGAATCATGATGAAAGACGGTTCTAGTACCATCAGGACGTTGGATGGGGAGATGGTGGGGGATGAGCTGGAGGGGGATGCAATCAACTATCAGATACTGCTTGGCAAGATAGAGGGACTTTTAACCCGATTAAAGCTCGATGCTTAATGAACACGGATATGAGCGTACTCACAACTTCAAAGCTTGATTATAACACATCATCTATGGATCATCTAGACGATTTTCTCCCTTCAGATCTTATTTAAGCTGTATTCAACAAAATGATAGATTTTCTATGTGTTCAGTGTGTTCATTGTAGTGACCGTGGTGGTGGTGAGGCTGAGAATGCAAAACATCTTATGCCAAGTTTGGTAAGCGTCCGTCCGTCCCAGCTATTTAGCGGATAGCGGCGGAAGTGCAAGTGGTGGTGTGAAGGTTAAGGTACCTTTATCACTACTCGTACTTTAGCTCTCACTAAAGATGTTCTTCTTTTTTATGGCCTCGCAAACAATCACACTCGTTCATTCCCACTCGACTGGTGCTGACAGCCATACCCTCATTGTCAAACCTTTCTTCTCTCTATGCTTAAAACGATGAACACGTCTTTCCTCAACACAGCTCACTGCCCCTGAGTCCCGGGAAGTGGGAAGTGGGAAAGCCGAAGATTGCCTTGTTCGCCCTCAATCGTCAGCATCTACCCACGATAGCTAATTGGTCTTCGCTCAACCAAATCGATGCGATAATCCGCTCTCACATCCTTTCCCTCCTCCAAATTCAAGCTTCCATGTGTTACAACTTCCAAATGTCTCCTCCACACTCTACCTTGAGCGGTCGGTCATGGTCGGCCGTCCTGCTTCTTATCGTGTCCTTTCTCTCGCTCATAGATCTTACCCTCACCAACGACAACCTCTGGATACAGACTACAAACAGCGCCGGGGAGACAATTTGGCTGCGTGATGACAGAAAGCCAGCGCTCTACACACAGGACTTCGGCGATTGCCTGGGCGGCTCCTTGATCAACGTTACGCGCTTCGATGCTGCATACTACCAGGATAATATGACGGTGCTGTTCCATCTGGAGGGGAATACTAATGTGGCCAACGAGAGTATCATGAGTATGTTCTCACCTCCTAATGATCAAAAATTTCACACTGACTCTTCCAGTGTACATTGGCGTTTTCGCGTACGGAGAGTCTCGCTTCGACCTCACCTTCAACCCCTGCAATGCCCAGATATACAGGTACGCCAACCTCGAATGCCTGGCTCTGCTTATCACTAAAGTGCTGCAGTCTTTGTCCCATGAATAGCAGTGTCCCCATCTCTGCTGATGGCATCATCCCTGTCGACCAATCCGACGTGTCTGGAATCCCTGCGATCGCTCTCGGAATACCAGACTTCGAGGGTCAGGCTATCCTTCGTATCTTCGGCAATTCTACCGAGACAGAAATAGGATGTTATTCAGCATTGGTTACGAACGGAGCAAGCTTTTCGCACCCTAGCTCAGTGGGTACCGTACTCGGTATTTTCACAATAGTGGCCATAGTCGCATCCTTGGCCACAGCAGTCTATGGGGATCACATACCGACAATGCGCACACACTACGCACATTCACTCTCGGTATTCGTAGTCTTCGCCGTCCTTCATCATATTTATTTTACTGGAGCTTTGTCAATGAATTGGCCAAGTGTGCTAGCCGCCTTCTGGAGCAATTTCGCTTGGAGCGCTGGAATGATTTACAGCGAGTCAATGCAGAATAGCATCAACCAGCTGATCGGATCCAACAAAGGCAACACCAGCATCGTCGGAGCAGCAAGTTCAGGGGCCTCTGCAAATGATCTTGGTGGCGGCTATTCGATATCCCAGATTTACAAACGAGCAAGCCTTGATATTTCCCGCCGGTATCTAGAGTCCCTCGATCACCAATGGAACATGCTAAGGACCAGAGAGCTTGAAAGTCATATTGCCAAGCGGGCCGCCTCCAATTCATCCAGCGCTTCACCGTGGTACGGAAATCCTATTAAGCCAGGCTTACCGATTCCGGGCAACTTTTCTGGCTTTGCGGGCACCTTGTCTGAGCAGGGCATTCCAGCATCGAACGCTTTCATGACCGGCCTACTCTGGCTTCTGATCCTCATAGCCCTCATTACTGCTTCAGTGGTTGCGTTCAAATGGATCCTCGAAGGATTAGGCAAGGCGAATCTTGTCAAGACGGAAAGACTTGCACACTTCAGAGATCATTGGCTTCTGTACGCTGCACAAGCCGCTCTCCGCACGATGTTCACTGCGTTTTTTATGATGATCTTCCTGACGCTATTTGAATTGACCTACAAAGGCTCCGCTGGCGTTACCGCTATTGCCGCCCTGGTGTTCACCGTCTTTTTCGTGAGCATGCTGGGCATAGCTGGTTATGCTTGCTTCTACCGCCTTCGATTGGGCCGCTACGAAACAGTGCCGGACAGAGTGCACTTCCAAAAGATTAAGGCGATCGGTCCCATTCCATGGTATGGGCTCAAGCTTGAGAGTCATAGATTCGAAAAATCCGAACCAACCGTCTCCGCCGGATCAGTACCATGGTGGAGAATTCGTTTTGTCAACGAAGACCCTCAGCGAGTTGGGGTCCACCAAGACAAAGACTACACCATGCGCTTTGGTTGGCTAGCTGCACGCTTCCGGCGGACGAGGTGGTGGTTCTTTGTCGTTTGGTTGGTATATGAATTTGTCCGAGCATGCTTCTACGGAGGTGCTGCTGGCCATGCATTGACTCAAGTTTTCGGCCTGCTTGTGGTGGAGATCATCGCCTTGGTCGTCATAGTCCTGATGAGGCCTTTTGAGGGGGCTCGACTCAATGCTCTGATGGTTTATCTCCTTGGATTCAGCAAGGTTGCCACAGTTGCGCTTTCCGCAGCCTTTGATGCTCGATTCAACCTGCAACGCATAACAACTACTGCCATTGGTATTGTAATCATCGTCATACAAGGTGTCCTCGCCATTGTATTGATGATCGCAATTGTCATCGGCGCCATATCAAGCTACATGTCTCTCACTCGCAACCATGAGAACTTCAAGCCTCAGAAACTGGAAAAGATTCGGCAACGCTACTTTGCTCACCTGGAGAAGACAGCTCCGGATGTTCCCCCACCTCCCCCACCGCCTCCACCGCCTCCGGAAGAGCCCAAAGGGCCTTACTTTAACGTTACTTCTGTTCGTCGTGAGCCCAAGATCGAGGATGAAGATGAAAACTACATCGGAAGCATCCATAATCCCCTCGGCTCTCGTGTCTCCGTTGCTCGCCCAGCCACTGCCCGGGCTAGCCGAGCAAATAGTATGCGGTCACAGCTCGAGAGCCCGTACACGAATGCTCCGTTCGGAGCGCGCGTGCACCGGGCCAGCTGGAGTTCTCGCGATTTCAATGCACATTACGACCCCAGCAACAACAAAGACTCTGCCCTTGACTACAGTACCCGTAGTTCCCGAATCTGGAGTTCTTCGGGTATTGAAACCAAGGCCAGCGATGGAAGCTTAAGAGAAAGCTCGTCGCGAAGAGTGAAGACGCCCTTGAACAACGGTGAGGGCGGGTTGGAAGTTCGAAAAAGATATGGGAAGGAGAGAGACGATGTCCTTACAGAGGAGAGGCACAGCGAAGAGCAGCTGGATCCACGTGATTGAAGGAACTTAATCAGCGTTCATCATGACTTTACGATTACATCCCGACACTAGCACATCTATCTATGTGCAATCGAGTATTCAAGGGAAACGGGTTTGAAGCAGGATTGGAGGAGAGTGGGAGCCAGATACCAGCTTCACTCGGTCGGGCTCTTGTCACATGCCTTCCGACGATGAGAACCAGGACGGACCCGTATCTTAATTGCCACTCGATTTTTGCACCTAGATATCCGCCTCCAGCACAACATCACAGCACAGGCGTACCATGGCATATAGAGCATTGGACGGGCGCTTCATGACTCACTTCGGACCCGAACAAGTTCAAGGGGAGTTGTTCGGTTGGAGCGAGCAAGTTTGTGTCCACGGAAATAGAAATAGATTTACGAATGAAAAGCTCTTAATGCCTTTCATTGCTTGACTGGAAAGGAATGACGGTAGGTAGAGAGTAGCATACGAATAGCATACGAATTTGTGTTTCCAATCCGCATGTACTTCCCTTTACCAGACGCGTTTTCCCGGGGAACTAACCAACCTCGGGGCAAAATGGTGCTCAACGCGGTGCTTTCAAGAGATGTGCTCCAGGCCAAGGTAGCACAGAAAGGATCTTGGAGTGAGTCGAGGCACTGGGACAAGGGCTAGACCAACAGATAGCTCTGTCGTGGCCCGGAATGGCACAGATTGCCAGGGCGTGGGAAGGTGGTATGACGATCGAGGCTCGAGGAGGAAAGGAGGTGCCAGGTGCATTACCTATTTTCCGTCATGAGGGGAGACTCGCAGTGTAGATGCAGGATCTTTCCGAGTATCCGGATCGTGCATTTGACTTTCCGTTGTCGTCGACATTGACGATCCATTCATCTAATTCCCGCAACGTCTATTCCAGCTTCCGTCCACACAGAACTTGTTCTCGTAGATGGTTTTGTTCCCAAAAGGGCAACAGTGATTGATTGGACGCGTAGACCGGCTGCAGTACTCCGTAGATATGCAAAAAGCAGGCAAGTGGATCTGGTCTTGCCTCGGGCGGCAATCGTCTGGTGCGGTTGTAAAGATGATAGCCTGATGGGGATCCGGAACAACTGAGTTCGCAGCAGACCCTTCCTAAAACGTCATTGTCGTTGCGTGATTCGTGACGTACAGTGCAGAACGCTCGAGGAGATTGCACGCTTTCAATCCCTGGTTGCTGGGTATCATCTTGGAGGAATGAGACGTCCATGCTTTCTCTATTCCGATGCGCGATGCTTTACGGTTTCGCCGAGTTTGAAACTTGATCGCATGTAAAGGGATGAGATGCGGGAAACACACCGTGAAGCCGGGAGAGATGGACGGAGAATATACCATCGATCAGCTCACAGAGGACAATGGTTTCTCCATCTGTCAGGTATTGTGGTGCCGAGTCCAGTCGTAGATATCTTGGATTCTTGGCGACCTTTCTCAGGGTCTGCTCGGAAATATGCATGGAAGAAAATGACGAGTCATGGTGATTATCATCTCTTGGGTCCAAAACAACCTGCATCCTCCGGTTATAACCGCGCCATTCAAGCAAGCCTCTTGAGGGTCAGCGCAGTAGCAGTGGTGGGCGCCTCAGCCTCAACGTCTTGCACATTGACCGAATTGGCGAAATGGGACAAGCAACGCGCGAACCGTCCATGTGGCTCGAACGAGGCAGTCCTTTCTTCTGGCCTTTTCAGGTCGGGAACCAGGGTCGGACGGATGAAGCCAGCATGAAGACTTGATGCACGTTTGCAGTGGCGGTCGCAGATGAGACGGAGGGAGTCTCGGAGGACGAAGCCAAGCATTGCAACAGTACTATATGCGCGGCGCATGAGAAGTTCCAATGCAGCTAGACGGGACGCATTGGACGTTGCGGGTCTAGGTCTTCGGAGGATTGAACTGACAGGCTGCATGATGGATCAGATCATCAGAAAGGGCGCACGAACAGCAGGACATTCTGGACGCTGGAAGACTTCGCAGTGGTGATGGAACTAGCCGTGTTTCGTCGACGCCTTGGGCAATTGGATGCATATCATCCGACTACAACATCCTATCTAGACCACTGAAATACTACCATCTCCTTTTTGCTTCTGGCTCGATGTGTGCGACCATGTGCACAGAATCGAGCGGTGCATATGATCTGCATTTTTCCGTCCTTCCCCTATTCGCTGCCCAATGTTTGATGCTCTACTGGCCGTTTTGGTTGCATATTGATGACCGCTATCCCGCCCAGTTTTGGAAGCCGATATCCCTGATGCCCGGGAAATTTTGTTGCAAGCATCTTTCTGAATCTGCGCTCTTAGTGAGTTGCGTGACTTGTATGTGACTCGTCCTGCATGAAGGGCAAAAGGGAAAAAGGGATGCAGAAATCACTCGCGGGTCACCCACAATTGTTGTCACTCTCATCATCATTGTCATCATTATATCATTATCATTATCATTATCATTATTATTATTTATTACTATTATTGATATTATTGATATTATTATTGTTATTATTGTTATTGGGCCGTCCAATCATGCAGGATGCAATATGCAGTATACTCATGCAATATGCAATATGGTTAATTCCGAGTGCCAAGCCCATGGGGAAGAGAAAGAGGGAGGGTCTCCGTGTACCCACGGACCAGGAGACCAGGTGGGTTGTTTTAGAATGATATACTACTCTAACAATGGGGGCGAAAAGCCACACATTCTACACATTCTACGCATAATTCTGTGTGCAATGTTTGACGATCGTCAACGTGCACGTCGATCACAGCGATCAGCCGGGCGCCGGTAAAAGTGTGTCACACAGGGGCTCCAATCGAGGTGAACTTATCCCCTGGCCGTCTTGGGTTCTCTACTTTACGCTTGGCAGTTGGCGGTTAGGATAATAATAATAATACATGATAATACATGAGTACATGATGTGTACTGTACTTAGCTCACTACCGGCGCTACTTGATCTAATCTAAAAATCATTCGGCTGGCTCTGGCTCTGGCTCTGGCTTCGAAAAGAGTCCCGTGGTGAGGGTGAGGGTGAGGGTGAGGGTGAGGGTGAGGGTGAGGGTGTGGATTGTCATCTTCTATCACATAATCCACACAGACGACGTAGAACCGACCACGCTTTGCTCCTTTTTTGCCACCTTCCCCTTTCCCTCCTGTATACGCCGTCAAAGGGAACTCTCAGAGTCAGAGAGGGCGAATGGAATTGAAAGGTGATGCCGGGGTGAAAAGGACTAGGTGAACTTAAATTCCAACATTCCTGGATCCTGACTCCCCGACCCCGAAAGCTTGGGTCCCGCATCTTCAACACTTCAACACCACTTGACGCGCCGGTCCCTCTAAAACAGAAACTGACCGAAAAAGTGAACAGCTCGAAGCCTCGAACTGCGCTCTGACGCTCTGTGACCTGATCAAGTCAAAAGTATTCCATGATCGCCCGGGCCCCAGCAGGGATAGTGCCATCGGACAGACCATTTTAATCATCTAATCCACGAGGTCGACTGCCGCTTTAGGCGAGAACAGTCTGCTGGGCGGTCTGACAGCCCTAAAAAGGACATATCAAAGGTACAACCCCCCCCCTGCTACTTCTAACCGAACCTCCCATCTCCCGCTTCCAGAATCATAGAGCCCCCCCCCCTCCCCCACCCCTTGTTTCCTGGCTGGCTTGCCTTCCTGTACGGTACTGCGGTTCCAAGTGGATAGTTCCGTCACACCATCTCGTTTTTCTGACTCGGCAAGCCGTTGAGGATCTAGCGGGGAGCGACATCAAGGATTCGAAAGGCCGGGCTCTAGTCAAAATTCGGCATATCTTGATCTCCAGTCCAATCCAGCTACTCTAACTGGTCCTTGGAGATCGGTTGATGGTGCACCTCTTTCGGGCTGAGTGTCAACGGCCCTGCAAAAGCAAAGCAGAAGTGCAAAGGCTCGAGGGACGCGCCGTCTATGGAGACTTGGGTACTACTATGACCCTTGTAAGTCGTAGCCCCTCTGCCATGTGGTTATGTATACTATTCTCGAACTCTTGCTCTCTTCCTCATATCTTTCCTTTGCATGCGCCCCAGTACCAGAGTACCTCTGGGCCATCGTTTTCTTGCTCCGATCTAGGTGTGGATTGACTGACGGTCATTCTGTTGAAGATATGAATCTGTCGAATCTCCTTCATAGAGGTCAACAAAATTCCCGCCAGCAAGACCCCCCAAGATCGAGTCAATCTTTTCCACATCCTCGGGGGCGCCTCCTACACGACCATAGGCAAGATATGGCCTCGGCCCTCACAGCGAGCCCATACATCAGCCAGTCACCAGTTTACACACGATCTCCTCAGCCTCCGCCCTCGCCACCAATTGACGAGCCGAGCAACCTCCGCACCCTACCTTCCATTCAAAGTCTAATCGGAATGGATGTACCTCCGCCAAACGAGGAGCAGCATTGTTAGTCCACTTTCCATTGCAACTAGATGTGTGAAGCTCATCAGATTCCCAGTCGATGCCGAAGGCCAGCCCATCGAGCAACAACCGCAAGGCGCCGACCATCAAACAGCAGGCCATCGACCGCATACATACGGTCAACCAACCGTGAGCAATCCAAATGCTGTACCGCCATCACCTCCCATTGACCCGCAGCTTGGTTTTGACGCTTCCCACCAGTCTCCCTCTGCTACATCTTCGCACTCCTCCACCTCTGGTCCCCAGTATTTTGGAGGCACGATTAACAATCTCGAGCCCCACCAGCAGCGCCAGCCTCCTCCGTCATCCACGCACCCTGGGCATTCAACATCATCACAAGCAACACAATCGCCATACCCGAATTCGCCTTATCCCCCTTCGCCATCAGCAGGATCGAACTATTCATATCCTTCACCGGCCGTTACAGGAGCACAAACCATGTACTACCAGCGACCGCTTCCAAACAATTTTCCGCCGCCCAATATTCCAGGTGCCTCCAATCCTTCAGCTCCGAATTCTCAAGATGCATCTCCAGTAGACCCGAACAACCCCAGCCAATGGCAACAGCAACATCAACATCATCACTACATTGCGCCGTCTTCCTCGACCAATTTTACTGGCCAGTCGCAGGATCGATACGTCTGCCAAGTGTGCAACAAAGCTTTCTCTCGACCATCAAGTTTAAGGATCCACAGCCACTCGCACACCGGTGAGAAGCCATTCTTGTGCCCCCACAAAGGATGTGGTAAAGCTTTCAGCGTGAGAAGCAACATGAAAAGGCACGAGCGAGGCTGTCACGGCGGCGGAAGCCCCGGGAGCACATAGATTCAGAGCGCATTGGAGGCCGTCATGAATTACATAGGATCCGAAGCAACGTATATACACCATACACCGGCTGGCGACGATTTCTTCTTCGCTGATCGCTTGAGGCGTCTCAAAATGTATTTTTCTATACCCTCTTGCCATGGCGAAGGCGTTTTTATGAACGGGCGTTGCCAGGAAAAAGGAGGGGCTTTGGGCCAAATTCAGAGATCACGCGCATCGAAGAGACGTATCTTGGGCGCATCAGCACCTGTAGGTGCTACCGGTCCATACGATAGAGCTAAAGCTTGTTTCTAGAGGCCATGGACATTAGAATGGCACGCCTGGTTCAGAACCATGCCGTCTATCAGACGATGCGTGCCTATTGTTCATTCGTGCGTTTCCCTCTAATTTCGCGGCCTTGAGCAAGAAAAGCACAACTCTCTGTACAGTAGATGTACGAACCAACCCAGTGCCTTGCAATCTTTTGATAATCTGATATGATTCACCTTACTTGCCATTACCAATCAAAGATTTTCCATCCCCTCTGCCGGCAAATACCATCCCTAATATTGCATGTGTCTCGTCTAATCAGGCAGTGGCTTCGCTCTCTCGCCAGTCCAATTACGGCCCTGCGAAGCTTGCAGGCCATCCGTTGAATAATCAAACCCTTGTGATACAATCTACCAGACGCCAGCCTCAACGCTTAGTACGATCCTTTCCCCGGTCGCTGCCATCTCCTGCTCATGTCAGTCTGTATGTACGCACATCTTGTCTTCGGGTGTCCGTTGGGTCGTGCACTCTGCACGATCAAGATTACTGCGCTGTGGATCATGGGTGCCGGAAATAATCGGAGATACGACGATGATAGTGGACTGTGGACATTGAAGAGTGCATGTGGCGCCTGCTGGCGGATTGGGACGACAGGAGAAAGGTGTATGGCTCAAAGGCATAACAGTTCCAAGCATGGACAGAAATCGATCTGCGGACGGGGTCGCATTCGAAGGTATTGGTGACGATATCCGATGTCGCCTGGTCACAGTCCCGTCACAATTCCCAGTCTATCGGGGACGGCAACAATGAATGGTATACAAGAATAGAAAGTATTGATTCGCCAATCGATACCCAGGTAACTCAAAAGGGCCGAAATGATGGTACATTGATGATCCCAGACTCCCAACATTTATCCAGTACAATGGGTCTGAGGTCCCTCTGGTAGCTTGCGCTAGTCCGTTCTAAAGGGTATAGATCAAACAAAATGTCCGAAAGTCCAACGCAAAGGAGAGGCCCAAAAAACAGAAAATGCTGATGGCGCCCATCGCTTGCACAAAGGAATTCATATGTTCAACATGATCGAAAATGTTACCGCCTTCCCCTTACCGCCGTCCCCCTCCCATCTACCCTTCTCTCCAAGCCCTCCACCCTTGCTCGGAAGCCTTTGACGATGTCACGTATATGACGCACTTTGTCAAACTCGGTCTCGAGGTCGTCTATCTGGCGCAAGATATCTCGAAAGCGGGCGATTTCAGCGTCGGCGGCGGCAATGGAGGACTGGGCGCGAGAGGATTGGTGGAGCGTGGAGCGTTGGGTTTGCGCTGTGAGCTAGAGAGAGATGAGCAGGCTATCGCGGAGCATGAAGAGACGAAGGAAACAGAACGGCGGAGTTACGAGAGCCACAAAGGGACAAGGCTGCGCCTTTCGCTTTGGACAGGGCTGTGAAACGTACATGATTGACCCTGCTCTGAATCGCTCCCATCAACCTCTCGAAGTGACTGCCCAATACCGCCAAACTTCCGGCATCCAATAGCAGCCGACCACCTCCCCCTTGTCCCGAGCTTGCAGCACTCGCTGCACGAGAGGTTGAAGCCGAACTGCGAGCGTGTCCGCGTCCGCGCGAGGAAGTGGTGCTGTGAGCGTAATGCGGCGCGGCGCTGGAGCTACCGGAAGACAAAGCGATCTGCTGGTGTTGGCGAAGAATATGAAGCTCGGACTGGGAAAGCCCGAGTTGCGAATCCGGTATAGAGGAAGGGAGGGTAGATGGCATCGGGGGGGCTCATTACATGTTGCTTGGGTGCTGTAACTTGGAGACCGCTCGCATTGTATGGTGGTTGGAAGCTGAGACTACTTGAGGAAGACGGTGGGGTATGTTGATTTGCTTTGCTGATACGCCAGTATGTAGTTGGGCAGTAGAGAAGGTCGGAGGGTTGGGCGTCGTGAAGAGGTGCAACGCGCAGGGAGATCCAATCGTCTGGTTTGTAGGGCTGACGGCTGTGGCTTGACAAGCCTTTGCTGACCATCTAGAGTACTTCTGACTTCCTTTCCTCTCGTTGCTGCTCTTGGTTTTTGATCTACAAAATCTGCTTCAGATCCTAATACACTCAAGGGCAACTATGCCGGATGAGAACTAATGGTTATTACGTTGGCTTCATGAATGGCTTGAAGAGTAGTCTCCCAAGGCCTCTGAGGCGCACGAAGAAATATGGCCTGTCGCTCCAAATCAATCTAAGAGGGTGTCAGTCTTGAGGAACTCTTCCAAGGGAGCATCGCCATTCATTTGCTCCTTGGAAGTCTTTCATTGGAGATTAGCTGCATTCCTCGAATGTTGAATCAAAGGGAATACCTATGTATAGTATCCGCTTAGCCACACGACAGGACGGATGGATTTCCGTCGAAAGTATATAAATCCCCCAAAGGTGGATGCTGATAGATATCGCAAGACCATACTTATGGTTCTCTTCATATCTGTGACCCCGGAGGATAATCGCCGATAGTGTTCTTGTTTGTTTGGCTTCGAACCTCTCTTCGATCTGAGCATATAAGTCGTTATTACCACAGCCAAGAAAACGGCTTCCTCCCAGCTGCGAACTTGAGGTCTTTCGTGTACTCGGTTACTTTCAATCTTTACCATCAGAGTTGCCCGTCCATTGCAGCGTCTGCGAGAAGCCTTCTTCTTTTCCTTATGCTTAATCTACTGACTCTAGCTTCACAAGTCCCGTCCAACAGTCGTCAAGCACTACATCCTTTGAACGATTAAGGTATCCCACAGTCGAACCCCCCTGTGGGTCTTCTCCCGCCTACACCTGAAACTACACTTTTCACTATTTTCACATCACCTGTATCAATTATGTCTATCAGCTCGAATGAGAGCATTCTTGAAGATGACATTGTTCGACGACAGTCTGGGACGGGGAATGTTGAGGATCAACAAGGGGAGAATCAACCTACACGAATGCTGGTCAGAATACCGTAAGAGGGTTTCACCTCGATCTTTCTTGGAGACGAGTTTTCTTTTCAAGGCTACAAGAACGTAAGGATCTCGATAGTACGCGCCATAGCTCAAATCACTCTCTTTTATGGATTATACAAAGCTTTCACCAGACCACCATAGCCTCTACTTTTGTTGTCTTTACAATGGCTCTATGCTGGACCGAAAACGGCATAAAAGCTACCGTGGGCTGCATGCAGACTCTGCCGTGGCCACTCGCCGGAACCGGTGCAAGCAACGAAACTCAAACCCTGGTAGATTTGACTCAGAGATCAAACATATACGTACGATATCCTCCCAATATCACTGTTACCAGCGCCACCAATGTCTCCGGAGGACTTGATGCTCCCGCTCTCAACCATGTTTGCCGAGCTTCAAGGCACTACCCTGACCATCATAGAGGTCTTCATCACTCTCTGCTCGACCTTGCTGACCATATGCCAGCACTCACCAACGGACGTTGTTAGCCTACTCACAGTCAGCGAAGTCAACACGAGTACTAGACTCGACTATCTTGATCCTGAACCGCCACGAAGCTCCCCTACTCTCTTCGCCTACCAGTACGCTTCTCGAGCTCGGGGACTAATTGCTATACATATCTTCCAGAAGGGCAAGGTTGAAGACGGACGGGATAGCTGTAGGAATTGGCATGCTGTAGAAGGGCGCGATTGGCCGGCCAGGAACATTCGCTAAAGCGTAATAAACTAAGGGCTTGTGTATAACCTGATGCCAAGTGAGCCGGGAAAGGAGATTGCCTAGACGGATTTGAGACTTTGTATCTTATCATAGGTTGAGCAGGACAGAAACAAAGCCTCAATTGTAGGTGCCAGAAAAAGTGGCAGTTGGAATGCCATGACTCGTCCAAATACTGACGAAATCATCACCAACAAGGAGCTTCCTGCGCTATTCAATGTTCTTCCTGGAAGAGATGATCATGGAGGACACATTGTTCCGGCTTGGTACCCAAATTTGACGTACAATTGAGTGAGAGGTTTCAATTCCTCAAACTACCATTTCTCTTGACGGCTCCACCAGCCTGCGTGGGTCTGCCTGAACTCGGGGATGTTACTCACCTTGGCGCGCCAAGAATTGATGACTAAGGTAATATCGCTAAGAATCTTGCCAGCACAATTGTGACTCCCATTTCCATCTTCACACCCAAAACCTTCGTCCACATCACCTCACAGCTATCGTAAGTCATGCCAAATATAGTCCATTGACAGAATTAGTAGCTTCACCTACTGCTTTAGCCCTACCCTGAGCAGCAATACTGACAGCTTCCTCGCCACTCAGGACCCCCACAAAGCGAGCCAAAGCCTTTGGAAACTCGAACAGAAGAACAAATCGAAACATGGGTAAAGTCCACGTAAGCCTACGAACCATTCTGACCCGACTGAGTAGCTACTGATTCTCACTTCTCTTCAGGGGTCGCTTGCTCGTGCAGGCAAAGTTAAGTAAGTATGATGAACAAGAGTACTCAAGACGTCCTCGTTAAGAATAAACTAGATCGCAGACTCCAAAGGTACCATACCGATCCATCCACAGCACCTCCGCTTCTCTTTCGAAGGCACTACATCTTCAAAAATGACGCATCACCCACTCCTAGCTCTTTGATGGGATGTCCCAATTTCGTACACGCACACACGCATGTGAGGGGTTGTGAGACGAGTGCTGATGAATCTGGCAACGGCAGGTCGAGCCTCAGGAGAAGAAGAAGACGCACGTCTCTCCCTTACTCTCTTCCTATCCCGATAATCTA